TTAACAAGCTTTTTATGTTGGATTTGTCACCAGTGTGAGCGAAAGACGATAAAGCCTTGAAAACAACTTACTGCTTTTCCTCCCTTCACACTGCAAATTTTGGATTTTGGGGCATTTGGAGGACAAAACAAGCAACTTTAGAAGCCATATCGAGCTCTTAAAATCATGCAGGGGAGCACAATCTTCTGACTTTTGAAATTATTTGAAAAAATAATCAACAGAACATAACTAATGAAAGTAATCATCGCTTGCAGCCTGAGCTGGCAGTAATATTATACAGTCATTTAAATGTTACTGGAAAGACTTTTTGTTCTTGGAAAGGGGAGTGGGTGCATTGTGATTCCACTTCGCTACATATAGTGTACATTTATATATATAAGCTGAATGAGCAGGTGTGTTTGTCACCTAAAGATTGTGTCCTGGTTGGTTCTTCCAGAGGCAGCAGGAGATTTTGTTAACTTTGTTTTCAACTATTTAGCGAGGGAGGTCAGTGAATGTATTTTGGCTGCTTTTATTTCTTCAGGTTAGATTTGGTCGTTAATTTAAAGGTATTTTAGGTGGTTGTTTTGGCTCCAGCTCTCTCTAAATTGTTAGTAATATACTAGTGTGTCGGTATATAATTGCAGATAAATCAGATTGTTTGCACAGTTGGTTCATGTGGCCGCTTGGGACTTGGGGAAGATGGGGGCTTAGTTCATGTTATGTCTCGGTCACCCACGTAACATGGAAAATTTGATATAGTGAGTTTTAATCAGACACTGAAAATCATCTTTCGTATTTTGCACAGTTTCTCTCTGCAGTGTGAACATGCAACTTTCTGCACATTCCTGATTTCTTCTCTTTCTCTGTCACTGTCTGTCAATCCATCTACCCTCCCATCAACGTGTTAGGTATTACAGTTAAACTTTCAGTGACAACGTAAGAGGTGAATTAAATCTGAGCAAAACCACAAATGTGCTTGAATTGTCCTGTGAATTTTATCCTTTCACTGGTATCATAACATCTTGTTAAAGAACTGCAGTTGAAAATTAGCCAGCTGGCTAACACTGGCACATTCACAGAAATGTCAATTAATGTGCATTGTCCTTATAAATAAGATAAAATAAATAAAAAATAGGCAGTTGAAGAGAAATTAACTTTATATTTAGGAAATGTAGGTTGTCTTTTAACCTCTTCAGCTACATACCTGCTTCATATTATATTATTTATAAGTAAAACATGGTGCAGATAAATTAATTACAGTCTTTACACATTATTATTATTTACAACTTTAGTGTTTCTTTATATATTTTACACCAAATCAAGCATAAAAGTCACACTGCCAACTTTAGAGCTTGTTAGTCACAGGCTTCATATAATAGAGTAAAAATAAGACCTTAAAAAGGAGTAACTACTTAACTTCCCAGGCAGCCTCTGAGTCCCTGTGGGAACACTTTGAAGGAATATTCATGATATCATAATGATTTTTCCTCGGGGTTAAGAGCACATTACATTCAAAACGCATGAAGCAAAAAAGCACAGCAGAATCTCTTTTACAGATGCGTTTTGACGCCTACTTACAGTGTCTCCGTGCTTGCTGGAAACCTGGGGAGAATATCAATGTCAAGGCAGGAGATGGTGTGAGTCTCCCACTCCATGCACTCGCACACAGCAGGGCAGGAGTCAGCAGCCTCCGACGCGCCGCTGATGGGCAGAGTGACGAGCGTCAACAGCGCGCATGTTATCACCTGCATGCTGAGCGCTGCTCCAAATATCCTGCACTCACTTCTCGACAGTCCTCTTGGTGTCCACAACAACAAGTGTTTGCATCAGTTTTTAAGCAGGCCAGTCTGGTGTGTGGTGAATAATCCTCAGGTGCAGAGTGTTGGGCTCAGTTTGTCTGCAGGGCCCCGGGAGTCTCTGTGAAGGTGGAGATGCTGTACGGACAGCTGCAGCTCTGTGGTGGGGTTGGAGGTGGTCTTCAACTTGAGGGGAGGGTGGACTTCTGAGGCACTCTTGTGTTGGACTCGAGAATATTTTCTCTCCTGGTCTTTTTCCCCTTGCGTCGTGTGTTTTTTGTAGTCTTTTCTTTACAGTAAAGTTTCGGTAAACTGTTTATTCCAGTGTATTTCTCTGAGGGACTGTTCTGTACTTGTCACAGGAGGGGGGTGGCTGAGGTGTGACTTTTTTTTACCCTCCTCAAAGCTACAGATATTTTCCCTTGAGCCTCCCTGAGTGACTGGTGGAACATGCACGACCCTCCCTCCCTCCACCATAAATGAATTAGTAGATTTGAAAAACTTCCCTTTTGAGGTCTGAAAACTGAAAGATTGAAGACAGTATTTTCAAGTTGAAATAAAGCCTTGGTTTTTCACTCTTGTCGTGCACGTTTTATTTTTGGCCAAACTTTAGATAAGATGTAGAATAAAGTGATTTTGATGAATTTGGTTTTTTTTTGTTTTGTTCAGCTGAGGTGTTCCGAGGACTGTTGGAAATGTGAAAATCCAATGATTATTTTCTTGTCTTTACAGAATCTAGCTGTGATAAATGGAGTCATTTTGGAGATTTATTTTATCTGATTCAGTTTTTTTTTTTATTTTGGTTAGGGTGGTACACGACGATTCTACATGTCAACTGAGACATTCAGTCTTGACGAACAAAAATAAGAAAAGACAAGAGGGGGTACAGCACCAGTCTCAATCGGCCAAAAAAACAATCAAAATAATACAATTAAATCTGAACACATAAACACATTAAGATTAACAGTCATAATAATTTATATTAAAAGGGATATAAAAATAAAAACAAAAAAATGGCAGGGCAAGACAAAACAAAAATCACACTTCCAGGCCCCCGGACAATGTAAAATAATTCCAAAAATCCCCCCAGATTGGTCCTTGAGCACAGTTATTCATCCTGGTTAGCATAGATTCATAAGAGGCAATTTTGGAGATTTATTAAGAAAACATGCCCTCCAAATGCATATTTCCTTTAAAAATTGGCAGTAAAAATAATACAAAATACAACCCTTTACAGTTTTATGTCCCTCCCTTAAGCCAAAATAAAATTCTTAAGTCCCTCCATTGCTTAAAAAATTTATCTAGCATGCTTCCCCCTTTTTCCATCACCCCCTCCCCTCTCATAAGTAATGAACAGTCCCTAAGTCTATCTATGTCCTATGTATTATGTACTATAATCGGTTAACATAAAGTGTCCATTTCCAGTGGTGAAGGAGACATTCAGATCCTTTAGTTAATTAATACTGCTGATATGACACCGTAAAAATATTCTTTTAAAAGTAAAAGTCCTACACTGAAAATGTTACTTGATTAAAAGTATGTAAAAATGATTAAAAAAGTACAATCAGGAAAATGAACTTAAAATATAAAAAGTAAAAATGCAGAAAATCTATTTAATCAATTAAATTAGTTAAAATAATACACAGATCCTCATATTTGAGAAGCTGGACCCTAAAGTGACCTAAATGATTATCAAAATAGTTGCCAGTCAGTTTCCTGTGAACTGGTCAATCACCTGACTGTTTCAGCTGCCCTTTGTGACTAGTGACTCAAGTTACCAAATTGTATTGAAGTAAAAAGTAGCCTACAGTATTTCCTTTTGATGTGTAATGAAGTAGAGGTATAAAGTGGCTTAAGATTAAAATACTCAGGTAAAGTACAAGTACCTCAAATTTAAAGGTAAGTCCAGTACTTGAGTAAATGTACTCAGTTAGGGACTGTTAGTTACCTATGAGGGGGGAGGGGGTGGCGCAATAAGAGGGAGGCATGTCAAGTTATGTTTTTTTAGCACTGGGCAGGGATTTATGTTTTTTTTATTTTGACTTAAGGAGGGGCATAAAAACTATTTTACTGCCTATTCTTGAAGAAAACATGCCTCCCAAACCCATCTGTGCATGTTGTATTTAAAAATGACACCATTAAATTACACCATTTATCATAATCAACTGAAAAAACAGAAATAATCGTTGGATTTTTATATTTACAACAGTCCCTGGGAACACTGTGCAACAAAAGCTCCTGTCAGAAAAACATGCGTAACCAAATCTGAGCCTAAAATATTAATATTTCATCAACTTTATTCTACATGTCTCAAATAAAGTTGGCTGAAAAGAAACCGTTTGCACTAAATAACCAGCATGCACAACAAGAGCGAAAAACCTTTTTCAACTTTTAACTTTCCAACATCAAGTGTTTTAAAATTTCAATAACTAATTTATGGTGGAGGGAGGGTCATGCAATTTTTCACTAGTCACTCAGGGAGGGTTTTGGAAAATTATCTGCAGCTTTGGGAAGGTCAAAATAAATAATGATAATTAAAAAACAAAGTCACACCCTAGCCACCCCCGTATCTGATAAATAAGAAACAGTCCCTTACATTCCACCACTGTCCATTTCAATATATGGATACCTATATGAAGAAAAATTTGGGGAGTGTTGCACATTATAGTTAAAGATCCTTTACTCACATTGAAAGACCAACATGTTTCAACATTAGACAGTCTTCACCAGGGTATAACATGTATTGGAATAGGTGTATCAAAGGTCACAATATTTTAAGCTTTGGGGTGGGTCAAAATAAAAAAATGAATAAAAGTAAATAAAAGTTACACTCCAGCCAGCCCTCTCCTCTGACAAGTAAAGAACAGTCCCTTGCTTACCACCACTGTCGTCCTCTTACCTATCTTGTAATCATATATTATTATTTTTCTTATCCATTTTGTCTTTTCTTTTTAACAGTTTTATTTTTCTTGTCCGATAAATAATTATCTTTTTTATTATATTTTTCTAAATTCTTTTCTTTTCTTTTCTTTTCTTTTCTTTTCTTTTCTTTTCTTTTCTTTTCTTTCCTTCTCTTGTCTTGTCTTTTCTAACTGACGGGCGGCAACACTGGCGCAAACGCAAAGCTTTGGACAATGTAGTTCACAGCTAACGAATTCCTACACTGCTCCACGGTGGGCAGCATACATTTCCCGGCGTGCTTTGCGGCCGCTGAGGTCTGTTGTTTTCCTGCTCAGACGCGGCTAGTTCAAGTTGCCATAGCAGAGTGAAGCTGAGGACTGTTCTTCTGTTAGCTTTCAGCCGCTCTGCGACAAACCAGCGGCTCTTTTCTAACGTATTCACAGCGGTAGGATTTATTCCCGGTGTTTCCGCTGGATGTGTGCGGAGTTTGTCGTTTTTACGGTAATGTCACACGGCTAAATTAGTTGGCTAACGGTGGGTTAGCTAGCTAACGGTCATAGTAGTTGCCACTTGTTGCTAACAGGAGGACCATCACTTCAACAATGCTCAGCACCGTGATTGATGGAGAGGAGGGCAGTTTGAGCTGTAGCGTGTTGCTGGTCAGATAGCTTCCTGTCTCCACTGGTTGTTGAGGTAACAATGGTAAAGCTCCCATTTCCGCTCGCTATGACAAACATATCTATTGTTAATAACGTCCTAAACCAGCCCAGGTTGTTTGTTAAGCTGATTAACGTCACAGTTAACAGTTAACGTTTTCCGCAGACGGAGCTAGTGCTGGTCACTAATCGTCAGATTTGCCCAGTCAGCCGTTTTTCCTCTCTGTCACTGTAAACTCGCCCTGTCCCCAAATTATGAACACATCCAGTGAGTCGGACTCATACGACAGGACCCGGGGGCAGAGGCCTCGGGGGCGTGAAGCCCACCGCAGAGCTGCCCGGGACAGGGGCAGATCCAGTGATGGTCGAGCCGCAGACATCTCCGAGAAGATCAGCACACTGGCGAGCACCTTACAGGTACTCGTGAGACACAGACACCTGACATTATTTGAAACTTACTATATATTTTCATTCATAGTTTGAATAGGTTACTAAACTGTCAATAATTATTAACTGAAAGCTTCTTCTCTCTGGCAGGACACCAGCAGGAACTTGACCAAAGTAGACCGGATGCTGGGCCAGTACAGGGAGCACACAGATGACCAGGCTGAAGCCATGACACTGGTCAGACACCTGCTCTGTCTATTATGATTTCATTGTAATCTTATCACACACTGAGGGGATAGTTCAGGGGCTGTATTCACAAAGAGTTGCTCCTAGTGACGAAATTTTAAGTTCAGACTAGGACGCTGTAAAGATAAAAGTTATTCACAAAACATCTCAGACCTTTAAAGAGCTCCTGAGGTAAAAACTGTTCGGAGCAGAGAGGAGGACTTTTAAGAGGCTTCAGAGTTTCTTAATCAGAAGAGAAAATGGTGGAAACACAAAGAGGTCGGTGTAATATTCTCCAAACACTAGATGACAACCAATCACATCTGTTAAAAGAATGTGTCATACCTAGCAATGCGGTCAACCTCACCTCCTCACTAAGGTAAATGTTTCTGTCCCTTACTTGCTCTGAGAACTTTCCTAAATCACTCCCAAGCTACGACTCCTTACTTTTAATTTTTAGGCTTAATTAGGAGCTCTCTGTGAGTGTTCTCAGAATGTTTGTGAATACGGCCCCAGATTTTTTGAAGTAGGGTTGAATGGGTTGTACTTATCCATAGACAGTATATTACATACAGTAGACGTCAGTTGACCCCCGGTTTGGAGAAGCAGGCTGGAGTCCGACATTGAAGCTAAGCAATCTACTGCTTTGGATGGGGGTAGCAACAAAATGTATTTTAGTCACCTATAAAAAAAGTCAGACCCAAGAAGAAACATATCAGTTTAAGTGTATGCTATGTTGAGAGTATTTTCACTGCTTTACCTTAACGTCAGACAGTGATTTTAATATTGAAAATTAAGCCATTATATTGCACTCTCTTCAAAGCCAGACTCCATTGAGAAAAACAGTAATTTAAGATTGCTGAACACAGGAGCTGCTGGTCTACCCCTACCTCAATCAGTTATTTTTTTGGGCGTTATTGTTTGACTTTGGCGTCTAAAAGGGTTAGCACTGATTCGACAAAGTCACACAATAACACAAACTTTTTTTTTTTTTTTACATAAATGATCTAAGTATTGATAGACCAGCAGCTCCTGTGATCAGTGAGCTACAATTACTGTATTTGTTGATGGAGTCTGGTGGCTTTGACGAGAGCATAGAGGGGAACAGAAACCACTAATGGTTTCCTGGTCAGAATGGGCTGTCTCACAAGAAGTTAAGTGGTGAAAATATTCTTAATATAGCGTACACTTGCACTGATATTGTTTTTTTTTAGGTGGCTAAAAAATACGTTTTGCTGCTGACTCCTCCACAGCAGTACATTGCTTAGCTTCGGTGTCAGACTCCAGCCTGCTTCTCCAAACTGGGGGCGTGCTGACTGGCATCTACTGTATCAGTGACGGACTCAGGATGTTTGAGGGGCAGGGGTGAAAAGGAAAAAAGGGCACCTACTGCACGACATGGGGCCCCATTGGTGAGCAAGAAGCTAGTGTGTCATGTATGGCGAAATAGGGAACATCAGCTTGTTTTGATCACTCAAGAGGGCAGCCAAAAGGGCACATCCGCTCGTTTTCATCATTCAAGAGGGCACTGAAACGCGGTGTTTTCAACCGAGGTTTCACCACATTTTTATTAGCTTGGTGCTTTTATTTTGATGGAAAGGCGCATCCACCGAATTCCGGATCCTGTCTCTCTCGCCCTGGTTCCGGTTGCTTACCAAAACGACCACTAAACCGCCCCAGACTAGGTAACCACTGTCCATCATCAACCAAAGTTAGCAAAAGTCTCCCAGACGCAGGTGCAGCATGCAGTGTGCATTTTTAGTGCTGCTAATTTTATTTGTGGTATTCAATATAAACTTGGTAAAATGATTTTAGTGTGTATCTGTACTATTTTCAGCACATTAACAATACCATGATAATTTTGATTACTATAATCATGACATGGAATAATCATACTGTGTCATCTCTAGTGGCAACACTGGCCTATGTGAGGTGTTTTTGTTGGCATTTCATAAATCCACATCTTTAGTGCGCAACATTTCAAGGACAATAATAAACCAGTCTGAGTGTCTAGTTATGCTATTTATCTTTAAGTCCACTGTCTCATTGTTAATTCAGTCCTCATTTATTTTCACCAACTTTTTAAATTTTGTTTCCTTTATTTCTCCTTCTGCAGATCTTTTCAGGGATGTCATCATTTTTTTCTGGATATCTGTTCTATTTTTGCTTTCTAACGATGTTGAACAATTGTCTGTTTTCTGAGTTGTATGTCTGATGTTTTGTTCCTGCACCAGCTCAGGGAAAACCTGGAGGAGTCAATCAGTCAGCTGCAGACTCAGAGGTTGAGCAAATCCAATGGGGCTCGGAGCGCCTCAGGTTCAGCCTCCACCCTTCACACCAGTGACCTGGAGGATTGCTCGGGATCAGGTATGGCGTGATAGAAAGGATTTTGCTGTCAGCTGTCTTCTCACTGCAGTCTTACTTCAGGATCATTTGCAACAAGATGAAACATAAAGGCTGATAAAACAGAAATAACGTGCAAAAATGACTGTGAACATGAGAATAACACCTTGAAAATATCCCACAGTGAGTTTGTGTTGTTTGCTTCTCTCTCCTGCTTTAACACTTCACAACATATGTGCATGTGTTATTTCAGATGGCCAGCGTTTCTTCCCTACATCACCACTGAGGGACTATACAAGCACTCCAGGAAGGAGGAGGAGGTCTCAGTCTGCCGGTGTTCGCTTCAAGGATGCCAGCCTCTCGGGAGAAGATGTAAGGAACAGACACACCAACTACCAATCAGTGCCACTTGTTACTGTCATGTAGTGTCACAAAGTTTCCACAAGAGGGCACACTGAGTCAACAACACAGAGATGAAATTTGTTATGCTAATCCTGAAGGGGCTTGATAAGATTTCATTTAAATATTGCTCATGTTATTATTTAGGCCTGCAGTGAGTTCAGGAGTCCCTATTTATTTTTTCATGATGCTCTCCACAGTGGCAGCAGCACATGTATCTCTGTGAAGGAAATGAAAGTCGACTTGTTGCTTTACCTTTGTGTTATGTTTTGTATTCTGCGTCTGTCCAACACAGGTCCACGCTTTGCACCAGTCCTTGAGGGATCTGCGTTGTGACCAGCAAAGAATATCTCATGACCTGGATAGAGAAATCCTCAGGAGAAATAAGTATGTGAGGGGAGGGCCAAAGTCTGAATATCAGAACAGAAAACTAGTGTTTTTTTGTTTACACATAGCACATAGTACACAACTGAATACACCAGTCATTGTTATTTATTATAAGACAAGGTGATTTTGAGGGTGCTTTCACACCTATCTTGTTTGGTTTGGTTAAAATGAACTTACGGTTCATTTGGGCTGGTGTGAAAGCTGTCAATCAAACTCTGATGCAGACCAAACAACCAAACCCAGACCACTTGAAAATTTTGGTTGCAATTGGCTTCCAAGTGGACTCTGGTGCATGTCGTTTGTGGTGTGAAAGCAAAAGAACCAACCACAGGATTTTAGCCGGACTTCAGTAGATAAATACTAATAACTTACTTATGCTAATCATTTTGTGACCACGTTAACGTGTATTTGCAGTGTGGTTATTTATTTTCCCTGATTAATAGGTCTGAAGTAGGGGCGGCTGATATATTGAGTATACTCAATGTATCATGGCTTGTTTCCCGAGGGATATAAAAAATGACTATATTGCTAACATCAAGTATGCATTGTTTTTTAAGCCACCTGCATGAGGTTTCCTGTGACATTTCGTTTCTCCTGCTTGCTCCTAATGGCTCTCTTCCTTTTATACATACACACACTCACACACACAAAGAGACTCACAAACATGATACATAAGACACACACTCCTGCGCCCATGCAGATCAGTTTCTTCTGAGCTATGGTGTGTGTGTGTGTCTTACATGCAGGGCTCTACACCATTACTATTTAGTCACGTTTTGCGACCATGGAGCACCGCTGCAACTTGCAAATACTATTAATAATTGGGTTAAAGGGCAGTTTATATGTTTCTAGCTTACAGTGAATAAACCATCATTTTAATGGTGCTACATTTACAGTTTCATGTAATCAGATTGATGAGCAGACACACAAGTGTTTTTGTACCTGCACAGCTTGGGGCTGCAACTGTTAAGTCACATTTTGCAACCATGGAGCACCAGTGCGACTTGCAAATACTATATGAATACTATATGAATTGGAGAGCTGTTAGTTTGTGAACTAACACAGTGAATCCTCAAGTTTAAAGGTGTCGCAACAACAGTTTAACTTAATGCTAACTGCCAACATCTGTTGAGCTGAAGCTTTAAATTCACAGCAAAAACATCAACTCTTCCTCCCTGAGATGAGCCAGGTGCTTCAAAATAAAAGCACCAGTGGTTTCACTTTGATTTATTGTTATTATATTATGTATTATTGTATTATGGATTAGGGTTATTGTGTATCATGTAATACCATATAGCCTATTCTTTTTAAGTCATATCACCCAGCTCTGGTCCAAAGCTGCGAAAACTGCTGGGCTTATTTAATAAATCCATTAAAAAGTGAGAAACAGTGATCTCACAGTAATAAGCCCTGAGTCAATGTTGTACACGACGCCTCCTCTTCGTCTCGTCTCTACCTGTTGATCATTACTCATAGCATGGTCGATTTGCAGTTTAATAATAGCAATAGTACGTAAATCAGTTATTTCTTCGTGAGCTCTTCTGACACAAAATAATGGAAATGTTCACATCAGAAGCTTAAAGTGCTGCATAGACTTCTGTCAGTCACCACGTGGGTCCTGATGATGCAGGATGACAATCACCAGAACTGTCCGGTCAACGAGTTGCCTGTCCGTCTGTACAACTTCATGTTTACTCTTGGTTTGTTCTTTAAAAGTCAGTGCGAACGGGAACTGGGCCAAAACTAAAAAAAACAACATACAATTTTGAAAAGCAGGTAAAATGACAACAACTGGTGACGATAGACGCGCACAGTTTATTCTCAGATATTTTTGTTTAATTGTCTTGAAGTCAGAAACGAAAACTAATGAGAACATGCTCTTTTTTAAAGGCATTTTGCACAATAATCACACAGATCAGTGTTTAAAGTAGAGATGGGAATCAAGAACCAGCTCAAGTTGAGAACCAGTTACAGATTGGAGTCTGAATCAAATGCTTCAGAGTTTATCAATTCCTATTATTCATTTTTCTGACAGTTGCATATTGGAAAACAATTATGTCAAACTCGTGTATCTGCTGCTGGAAGCTTAAAACAAGAAGGTCCAAAGCATGGCTTCATTTCATGAACAATGATAGCAACAGTGCTGCTTGTAATGTCTGTAAAATGATAGTTTCAAGTCAGGGTGGAAACAGCAGTGATATGCTGACACACCTTTCTATGCAACCTGGGCTTAAATTCTATGAATGCCATGTATTTGACACTCTACTCACGAGCGCTACTGCTTCCCAACTGAGCAGCACATCTGTTACTGAGGGTAAATATCCTCTGTTATAACATTAGCACCATGCAGGCAGGCTTGGTAGGTTTCTCTTTGAGTGAGAACGCAGTTAAACAGCAGAGCTTTTGCACACCTGAGACACATGCATCACTTTTTTGCTGCTCTGTTTCTGCAGTGTTCAGACTCAGAGATAATAAAACAGTTGCACTGACGCACATGTTTTGTGGAGGTCATACTTTTTTCCCAACACAGAAAATTGATCAGGAGTCAATAAAGGAATCAATAAAGAACGCCAGGGAATCATGTAGTCTTGGTAGCCGAAGTTGTAAATTTCTCCCAGATTTTAAATCACATTCCTCTTGGAGCTTGTCCTGTTATGAAGATTTTTGGTTTAGAAGCTTTTGTTGTTGATTTTTCACAATAGAAAGTGCTGCTTTACTTTATTACAGTCATTCCCTGGTCCCCAGCAAGTGCACTGGCCAATTTGACTTTATTTGCCAAACAGTGGAATCACCACTTCTGGGTCCATCATGTGATGTGGGCCCAGAAATACATTTTTTTTAATTACATTACATTAGGGTTACATTAGGAAAGAGACGTCCTTAAATCAGCGGATGAATTTTTAGAGCGTCACAGCCACCGCAAAAAGACTCAATTCAATATCAGAATTTAATCTATCCATTCAAAAGTCCAAGTTAGCAAAGCGCTAAACCAGAATTAGCTGGCTCAGCCGATGGAAGTTGGCAGCTCGGCTGATGAAGTCTCTTGTGTACTTGCTCTATGGGCCCAATGATGGGGGAGATCTGGGTAATTTTACATCCAGGAAGTCGAACACTTTTGGCTCCACGCGCCATTGAACAACTTTCAGTGGCCCTTCCTCTTAAGCTGTATCAAGTTCTCTTTCTACATCCATGGTCATCCCCCTGCGACAATAACGGTGCAGAGATGGGGAAGACCTGAAAAGGCCAACCACACTAGAGCAGACTAGGCTTTTTCTTAGGTGGTTTTAAGAGACAGGTGCATAAACGGAGCGTCTCAGACAGAGGGTGAATACAGGTGTTTCAGTGCAGACAGTTTGAGGAAAATAACTTTTTCTGAACATCCTTCTCCTCCTTTAAAGATCATTAAAATGAAGCACTCCATGACCTTGGTTTCCACAGTCTGCATGTCCTTCAAAAAATGTTGAAGCATTTGGTTTGAATGTTTGAAGAAGGCTTTATGAACAGAGTACGCACTGATTCAGTAATCCATACTAAATGCAAGGAGACTCTTCTGTGGTCTCTTCAGGTCTGCCTTCAGATTTTCTTCATTATTTTCTACACTAACTTTGCCCTGACTGGGCTGGTATAGGATATTGATCTTTATTTTTCATATCCACTGTATATTAAAAGTTTTTGCTTGTGCTTTGAAAACAAATGCACAGTTTTCAGGTTTTTGAGATCTCCTTGATGAGAAAGTGATAAAAGTGTCATTGGGAGCTTAAAGAGATGGTACTGGAAAGTCAAACGACAGCAGATCTTTCTCCCAACATGCATTAGAATTTGACATTTTCAGGTTATTAGAAAATCTCTCCTCCCTGGTGCTGCTGACCATACCGAATTGATCCACCACTATATTTCAACATCTGAAGCCGCATCATTATTTTTAGTGGTGTCAGATTATGCATTCACATTTTGATCAATGATGTCCTGGGAAAGGATTTTTCAAAAACGGCCGAGAACTGTGATGTGCGAATATTTTCAGTCTGCTGGATTTGTCTGTTTTTTATAGGTCTGATATCGACACCAGGCGAGCGATGGAGAGCCTCACAGAGCACATGATAACTAACCCAAGACAGGCCTCGGTGAGTCGTAGCAATGCATTTCACAACCAACTTCAAGTGTGCTTTTAGCTTTGTGGACTTCCGAGGAAAAGTGGATGTATCCTGAACTTAAGGACATCACGTCACAGTTATTGATGAATAAAAGCTGTTGTATAAAGCATGCAGTATGCAAATATTTTACTTTTTTGCACGGAAAACAGCTACAGACAAGTGATGTCATCTTTTTTAAATGTAACTTCAGTGAAGTCTAACTTTAGTAAATATTCAGTGTAATCTCCAGGCACATGGCCCCTCACTGAACCATCACTACTGTGACAAGTATGCTGCTCCAAATGACAGCAAACATGTTTAATATTTTTTATCTTGTCACGTCTGTGAACGTGAGGAGATAAAGGTATTAACGGTCTTTTACAGGTGGATGCGATGCTTCCTGATTAGACAGGGAATTCTTGCATTGTGAATGTCCTACTTCCAGATTTCTTTTTGTCACCCAGCCTTTTAATTTCCTGTTGTCTCATTTATCATATCCTGCTGCCATCCCCGCACCGGTGATGTTTGCGTGACCTCAGGCGTCCTCCCGTCTCACTGTCTGCAGGTGTCGTCTCGTGTGGAGCGGCGTCTGCAGGAGCTGGAGAGAGAGATGCATACTGAGCAAAGCAGTGTGGCGAGGGAGAGAAGGCCCGATCAGCGGGTGGCCATGTCTGACGAGCTGCAGGAGGTGACACTTCTCCTCACCACTCAACTGCTGTTATCCTATCATCCCACACCTCCCGGTTGACACCCTCGTGTTCTCTCACATTCAGAAAGAACACTGAAAAATAATCAGAGACTTGATGGCACTTAACTCAATCAAGGCATGCAGACGGGACAAGACTGAACATAACACTTAAAGAATGACCTTCAACCACTAAATGATAGTTACGTTGAGTTTGTGAAGAAAACTTTTCTCACATGCCTTGACAGTGAACGAAGAATCAAAAAGCTGATGAATTAAAGTTGAAAGGGTCCATGGTTAACAACAGCAAAAACTAAACTTAGGGTGCTTTCAGCCCTAGAGTCATCTCCTTTGGTCTGAATCAAGGACTGATTTTCTTCCAAAGTTGTATAATTGTCTAGAGTTGGTTCGTGTTCTTACGGCAGCATTTACCTTGCGTGAGAAAGCTGCTCTTGATTGCATTGGATGTGCTGAATGTGCATATTAAGGCAGTACAGGAGGAGGTGCACATTAATAATCCTCCAGGACTGTAACATGCTCATGTTTAACCCAAACAATGTGTCATGTCATCCCAGGTCAGAACACTTTCTCACCGCAAACAAACAGCACATTTGTTGTTTGTAACCAGACTGAGACAACCTCTTCAAGAAGGTCTCAGTCTGGTTATTTTGGTGCGCACCTGAGTGTGATTGCTGTGTTCACACCTGCCCAAACAAACCGCACTGAGGGGGCAAACAAACTTCGATTGAACCCAACCAAACAGGGCAGGTGTGAAAGCACTCTATATCATCCACTTATAAACTCAAAATATCTTTTTTTTTTTTTTCCAGTCATATCCTCAGCACTCCCCAGACAAACACTCTGACTTCGAACTGAACTGAAAGTGAAACCTATCTATGCTCTCTTCAAAGCCAGACTCCATTGACGAAAGCAGTAATTTTACCCTCATGAGCACGGAGCCCTGCTGCTCTGCCACTGCCTTGTTTGTGTCATTGTGTGACTTTTGTAAATGTGAACTAACCCTTTAAAACAGTGGTTCCTAACTGGTGAGTCACAGTCCAAAAGTGGGTCACAGATCCATTCAGAATGGACTGCAGGTGACTTGCACATGTGTCAGGTTTGTAAAAACACACTTTATTTTTAAGTACAGTAATTTTCCAGTGCAGAGCTTTCATTTTGAAGTGCTGTTTCCTGCTGTAGAGTGAGTGACTAACAGACAGCTACTTAACAGGACAGCAAACTAACTCAACAACATGGCCAAATGTAAGAATGACACTGAATATATAAATTTATGTGGACCTTGAACTAATGACTGAAAAGAAATCTGGACCAGTTCGGAACCACTGCTTTAAAACACCAAAGTCACACAATAATCCAAACAAACTTATTGAGGCAGTGGTAGAGCAGCAGCTCCTGTGTTCAGCAAGGTGAATTTACTGTTTTGCCTATTAAGGCTGACTTTGAAGAGATCATAGATGAATTTAACTTTAATTTCAGTTTCCTGTCTGAAAGAGCTGTCTGTCTGGGAAGTACTGAGCATAGGACTGGATGAATAAGACTTGTATTATACTGCACAGTTTCTGTGAGAGTTTGTCAACAGATGTTTGATATAGTTTTGCCGCTGTTATATACATTGTAATTTCACAGTCCAGTTAAATTCCAGAGTTCTCTGTTTTTGGATTCTTCGTTCACCATGGCATGTGAGAACAACAAAATTTTCCTCACAAATTCAATATAACACAGTGTTGAGTAACTGATTTACAAACGGCCATTTTGTAGGTGAAGTATTCCTTAAATTTTAGCTTATTTATTTATTTTTAAGAGACAACACACATTCATTAACATCAAAAGACTAATTTTCATTAGCAGCTCCTGAGCAGGTTAATGTTACGCTAAAGAAACAAGCCACACAAAAGCAGAGAAAACAACATCAAAGCACATGTAAGAGCATAAAGCATGAAAGGAAACCTAGTTAAAGCATTTCCGAGCAGACCTATATGAGCACATATGAAAATCTGGACTTCACAGCACACACATGAAGGACACGTGAAGCACACACACATAAAAGAATAAAGCACGTGAACAAAGCAACAGTCATCACATACGGCATGTTGACTTCAAACACTACACACACACTGCCTGACAGATTATGATAATAATATATTACATATCCTGTTGGCACTGGTGTTTTTGTTAAAACACTCAAATCAGTGTGATCCAGCCCTGGTATGCTTGGAAGGGAAAGGCTGATTGGCTTAAAGGGACAGTGCATATTTTTCCTCTTCTTACCTGTAGTGCTGTTTATTAATCTAGATTGTTCTGATGTGAGTTGCCGAGTGTTGGAGATATCAGCTGTAGAGATGTCTGCCTTCTTTCCACTATAATGGAACTAGATGACACTCAGCTTGTGGAGCTCAGAGCACCGCAAAAAAACAAACGTGAAAAACTCAACAGCAGTGTTACTCAAGATAATCCACAGACCTTGTTGTGAGCAGTTTCATGAAAGGAACAGTTTTCTTTCTGTCAAACTACACCTGCTAACCATATCACTGTACAGAGGGAAGTGTGTAGCTCAGCCAAGGAGGACGCCATTAATGTTTACATCTCTAGCATGGGCCTCTTGTCCCTGAGTAGATGCACTCTTCCTTCTGCGCGGTGATACAGTTAGGGAGTCTGGTTTGGTAGACAGAAAATAGTTCCTACATGAAAGTGCTCACAACAAGGTCTGTGGATTATCTTAAGTAAGCGGGTCATGATTTCTGGAGAGAGACATTGATGTTGTGGTGCAGTGGTTAGCATTGTCGCCTCACAGCACCCAGGTTTCCTCCAGGTGCTCCAGCTTCCTCCCACAGTCCAAAGACATGCAGGTTAATTGGTGACCCTAAATTGTCTGTAGGTGTGAATGTGAGTGTGAATGGTTGTCTGTCTCTATGTGTCAGCCCTGGGATAGTCTGGTGACCTGTCCACGGTGTACCCTGCCTCTCACCCAGTGTCAGCTGGGATAGGCTCCAGCTCCCTGCGACCTCCAACAGGATAAGCAGTTACGGAAAATGAATTAAGGATATTGCTGTTGAGTTTTTCAAATGTATTTTTTTGGCAAGCAGAGTGCCATCTAGTTTCATTATATTGGAGAGAAGGCAGACATCTCTACGGCCGATATCTCCAATACATGGCGACTCACAACAAAACAATCTAGACTGACAGATAGCGCTACAGGTAAGAGGAAAATTTTGTATTTTTTATTTGCAGTGAACTGTCTCTTTAATGAACGTTTCCTTGTTGTTCTGATGCCATCAGGTATAACAACAGCTTTGATGTACCTGCTCCTTCTGCAGTTCAAACTAACTTCCAACTAGTCAAACAATGTGTCATATAAGGGAGAATTATTGCATTGATCCGTATGTTTTTAGAAACATATTTTAATGCCCTGTTTAGCTGTAACAGTGAGAGTTTGTGAACAGGAAGTGGGCACCTTACTGTTTCCTGTATTGTTAAAACAGAGGCCCAAAAAACTGAGAATAAACGGCAAAACTAAGCAGCACTGATCAAATATAAGTCAAGATTGTGTTACTGAGTTGCATCGCATCAAGTGTCAACCCACCAGCAGGAGCGTTTATTGGCGTGGTGCGGTGCAGTGCATCCTTGTCTTCATAGGTTTTCTACCTCTTGAGCAAAAGTAAACGCCACAGCTCTTTTCATCTGTTTTCTCTCGTCTTGTAGCACCATTTTCAAAAGTATCTGCGTCTTTCTCCTGCACAGACAGCTCAGTTATATGAAAAGACCATCTCTCCTGCAGTGAAATACTTCTGTAAGAGAAAGCAAGTCAGGAGGACTTTCTACCCACGTAGGGCCATTAGCAGCAATAAATGCTTGTTGGTTTTCTCTGAGTACTAAGACAGACCGCTGACATTTACACAGTTTATGAATGCTCAATTTAAGAAAAAAAATAATCTCAAGACAAGACACGGTGGTTTCAAACTCAAGGACAAAAAGGTTAAAATGCAAGCTTGATGTGTTTAAAAAAATGAACGCTGAAACAGTCTGACGTGATCTCAGTTAAATAATGATTCCTCCCCTTTATAAAAAAGATGTCAACCAAAACCACTAACGATAACTGGTGTGTCTAGTAATCTTTCACATGATTATAAACAGTTGTTCACGTGTCATCCAGAGCATGCATGAAAAACATCTCTAATTTTTTTAACACTTTCCATGTCACTGCGTCTTGAAGATTTTTTCCTCTAATGTACCGCAGTGCTCCTTGTTTGTTAAAGTAGTGCTCCCACTGTGTCACCTTTATGAGACTATAAAGCACACCTAGGCAATTACTCGGCTACGGTGCAAATGGTGGCTAAGCAAGCAATTGCTGCTTTCCCGTATTTCACGCCAATCATGTTTTTTCTTTTTTTCAGGCGTGCATTTGTCTCAAAGCATTAGTAGCTGAGAGAGCTCTGCCATTAGGTGCACTTTAGTGATGTCGACTCAAAGCTAGATGCACTCAATAGATGCCCACAGTCACACATTATGTTGTATTATTGCTGTCTTACATTGCTACTTCCCATTTAGCCACACAAATCATCCATATTATACAATCATCAAAATAATGTTCGTTCATTTCTGAAATAACTCAACCATTGATTTCCTAGTTACTGGTTTTGAGGGCAGCATTTTGTCAAAGCTAATCAGTGTCTTGGCATCAGTCCTCTTTGCATCTCTCATCCCTGCTGCAGTTTATCAGCAGGCCACAGAGGGGCGCTGTGTAGCTGCATCCTGACTGATAACCTCTGTGAATTAGACATTTCAGCACACTATTTAATGATAGTAGCTTCCAATTCATTTGCATCCCTCTCCTCCGTAGTGCCCTAATGGGACACCAGCAGGGCCCAGGGCGATGGGAAATAATGCATTTGTCCAAAAATTAAGGGTAAATAAACAAGCACGAGGACATGAAGAGGAAAATAATCTCTTTTACTACTAAAGAGCAGGAGAGGAGGGAGAGCAGAGGGCACATTTATTCCCCACCGATGGGCCCGCTGTGATGTGAATCAAATAGATGATGAGTCACTTGGGTAGATGTTATTGCTAGCAGCCGGTAATTCATCATCACAGTCCGCTCACAATGAGTGGGATTGAGTGGGATCTAAGCTCTTGTACAAATCCACCATGATGCCAGTGTCTTGTTCCAAGAAGACGAGATGGGGGATGCCATGATGCAATAGCACCTCTCGTGTTGCAGTGTTACACTACTCTTGTATGTTTGCTCTCATAATGATGCATGCTGCCGTCTGTAAATTGTGTTTTGCAGACCTCAGGGAGACGTCAAGTTCAAGAGGAGGCTGTGACAGCCAGGCTACTGAGAGCAGACAGGGAGAAGACCAAGGTGAATTTATTTAGTCCCAAAGGAATGTTTTGTATTCAAAAAGTAAAGGTGTGGTAGATTATTATGAATTTACAAAGGTCTACCTTTTAAAAGTTCCTTTTTTTAATGCATAATTTTCCTGAATTGGCAGCTATAGTGGTCAGGGCGTCAGACTGTGACCATTTAATTGTATTTTGCGACCATTTTTGGAGACAGTACTGTTAATTTTCATAATTAAGAGCACAAGTGCAACTTGCAGATACGCCCTCATTATTACTGTTTTCTGAAATCTAGGTCTGTATCCAACTCAGAATTATGTCAGTCGAATCAGATTTGGCTTTTCAATGCAAGCCTTCGACTGTTCATTCCTTTTTGAGAGTTTGAATGAGGTTTGTGGGACATTCAGGGTGACTACTAACTAACTACACTAACAACAGATGGATTGGAAATGAGCAACATTTTTTTGCTGACACTAGATATCAAACAAAAGCCAGACACTGTGTCATACTAAGTTGCTGTGAGCTGTAAATTTATCACGTCTAAGCAAAAGGCAGAAGATGACGTTATCTCAGAGTCTGACCGGGCAAAGTCCCTCTTTCTCTGGGCAGCTCAGACTCACCCTGGCTCTGGGTCTACAGCTGCCTCTAACAGAGAGCAGCATGAAAGCGAGAAGTGCTCACTCAACAACTTCATCTTGGGACCAAAACCTCCCCAGAAACACACCGCACACTGACTGGCAAAAAAAAAAAAACGGAAGTAAATGACTGAGGGGTCTCCAACTGATGATTCAAATTTTCAACTTTCAGGGAACAGCCCTGTTAAAATCTTCATTGTTTACTTTGTGAACCACCAGGAGGGAGGAAGAATTGGTGCTTGTGTGTTGCTTTCCTACTTTACTCGTGGAGACTTCGCTCTGCCCTGCTTGTGTCTGTCTCCAACTTTTGTGTTGGCTGTTTGATCATGAAGATGCAAGTGACGATGCACTTGCCCGCAGTTGGATCAAAACCTGTCCTCCTGCACTTCTCAGGTGGTCCAGATACAACTTTTAATGTCTCTACATCAAGCCAGCCGTCACTCGCATCCACGTGGTCAAACCAGCCGCTGCTGAAATTGGATTGCCCCCATATTCAGACATTTATGGTTAAATACACATATAAAAATAAGAGAAATTGGATTATATTCACAAAAAGTAGGAAACATGTTACCTGTGTTCGTTATAAATTTGGAAATCTCAATAAATTGGCAAGAAAATTGCTTTATTATTTGGTTTTGGAAATGAATCTTGACAGTGATTACATTTCATTTAAAGGTATACCCATTTTCGGAACCCATCGGCTGTATTCGGCATCTGACTTCCGGCAGACGGCGATACAGCCTCTGGGGGCAGACCCCTGATTTTTTGGCATTCCAGTTTGATTTGGGCGGAGGAGGCGAATTTCCATTTCCGACTTCCGCTTATATGTAAGTAAATATGCTGAACCATTGCGATGGATTCAGAGTTTGCAGTGACGCCAATTATGTTCCGCCTCGTTAGTTCACCGCACGGACCGTTTCACCTGGCAACAACTGCAGCTGGCTCAAACGTGATTGGTCAATATCATGCGGACTACAAACAGCCTACAACCGGAAACCAGGGCTGTTCCACTCTTCTTCCGGAGGCAAGATCTCCGGGGTTTGCCTACAGACTCTCTGATTGTAGAGTCTGTATATAGAGACTAAGGTATACCATGCAGGTCATAAACACGCTTGCCAGTGAAAGCGACAGTAAAGCCAACCCCAGATTCACTTATTCGCTATATTTGCGTTTTTTTTCAGCACCGCGTCTTTTGATGTTTGCTGCTAATGGTCTGGCACCTTGTCGCTACTAGGGCTATAAATCACTAGGTTTATCACAATAAGATACAGTACAGGCCAAAAGTTTGGACACACCTTCTCATTCAATGCGTTTTCTTTATTTTCATGACTATTTACATTGTAGATTCTCACTGAAGGCATCAAAACTATGAATGAACACATGTGGAGTTATGTACTTAACAGAAAAAGGTGAAATAACTGAAAACATGTTTTATATTCTAGTTTCTTCAAAATAGCCACCCTTTGCTCTGATTACTGCTTTGCACACTCTTGGCATTCTCTTCATGAGCTTCAAGAGGTAGTCACCTGAAATGGTTTCCACTTCACAGGTGTGCCTTATCAGGGTTAATTAGTGGAATTTCTTGCTTTATCAATGGGGTTGAGACCATCAGTTGTGTTGTGCAGAAGTCAGGTTAATACACAGCCGACAGCCCTATTGGACAACTGTTAAAATTCATATTATGGCAAGAACCAATCAGCTAACTAAAGAAAAACGAGTGGCCATCATTACTTTAAGAAATGAAGGTCAGTCAGTCTGGAAAATTGCAAAAACTTTAAATGTGTTCCCAAGTGGAGTCACAAAAACCATCGAGCGCTACAACGAAACTGGCACACATGAGGACTGACCCAGGAAAGGAAGACCAAGAGTCACCTCTGCTTCTGAGGATAAGTTCATCCGAGTCACCAGCCTCAGAAATCGCAAGTTAACAGCAGCTCAGATCAGAGACCAGATGAATGCCACACAGAGTTCTAGCAGCAGACCCATCTCTAGAAAAACTGTTAAGAGGAGACTGCGCGAATCAGGCCTTCATGGTCAAATAGCTGCTAGGAAACCACTGCTAAGGAGAGGCAACAAGCAGAAGAGATTTGTTTGGGCCAAGAAACACAAGGAATGGACATTAGACCAGTGGTAATCTGTGCTTTGGTCTGATGAGTCCAATTTTGAGATCTTTGGTTCCAACCGCCGTGTCTTTGTGAGACGCAGAAAAGGTGAACTGATGGATTCCACATGCCTGGTTCCCACTGTGAAGCATGGAGGAGGAGGTGTGATGGTGTGGGGGTGTTTTGCTGGTGACACTGTTGGGGATTTATTCAAAATTGAAGGCACACTGAACCAGCATGGCTACCACAGCATCCTGCAGGGACATGCCATCCCATTCGGTTTGCGTTTAGTTGGAGGATCATTTATTTTTCAACAGGACAATGACCCCAAACACACCTCCAGGCTGTGTAAGGGCTATTTGACCAAGAAGGAGAGTGATGGAGTGCTGCGGCAGATGACCTGGCCTCCACAGTCACCGGACCTGAACCCAATCGAGATGGTTTGGGGTGAGCTGGACCGCAGAGTGAAGGCAAAGGGGCCAACAAGTGCTAAACACCTCTGGGAATTCCTTCAAGACTGTTGGAAAACCATTTCAGGTGACTACCTCTTGAAGCTCATGGAGAGAATGCCAAGAGTGTGCAAAGCAGTAATCAGAGCAAAGGGTGGCTATTTTGAAGAAACTAGAATATAAAACATGTTTTCAGTTATTTCACCTTTTTTTGTTAAGTACATAACTCCACATGTGTTCATTCATAGTTTTGATGCCTTCAGTGAGAATCTACAATGTAAATAGTCATGAAAATAAAGAAAACGCATTGAATGAGAAGGTGTGTCCAAACTTTTGGCCTGTACTGTATATCGATTCTTTGGACAATGATACGATATGTGCCGATATTAAAAGGTCTGCCACGATACATAGTTGATTCGATGTGATTTAGGGGCCTTAAGGTGAACGATACGAGACGATATCATGTGATCACCATAAAAGATAAATAACACATAAACAATATAAAGAATTGTAACCAGTTAAGTGCAGTAAAGTTTCTTTTAAATTGACTCCACTAACAAACATAACACAGTACATGGGAAAAGTTATATTCATTTTAATCCAACATATGATCTTTTTCCTAAAAAGTCAGGGCTAATTGGCTCAAAGACCTGAAGACAAACTCCTCCCAACAACCACAAGATCATTTAACAAAAGCATCAAATTTGGCTCAGCTATAACTGTCAAGGTTCATAGATAAAACAGTTGTTTTGTTGCTGGCCATTTGTTATTAGCTTAAGAACATTTCTGCTGCATAAATAAGCCTAGTGGCTATCAGAGGTTTAACTAAGTTAACAAATTACATGTATTATTTATACTTTTTTGTACTCACTGTTGGTTAAAGTCACTGCATCTCCTGACAGAACAGCTCAGTTGAATGTATGTTTTGGGGCACCTGTTCTGTCAGTGTAAAATGATGTAGTCTGGAGCTCTGGTTGGTAGCATTCATATTTTGCTGAGGCATTTACTACATCAAAACTTTTCGGTGAAAATTGAATCGAGTCCCCTCATAATTGTGCCTGAACTCAAATTGGTATTCTAAATTTGTAGATTGTAGAGTCTGCACACCTAATGATATACTGTAGTCAGTGCTCATTTACACTGTGCTCCTGCCACTTCCACATCAGCTTCCAAAACACTCCTTCATTATGTATTGTCCTGACGTTGTTATTGTTGTGCTCTCCTCAGGTGGAGCAGGAGCTGGAGAGAGCTAGAAGACTACTGGAGCAGTCTGAGGACAGCAGAGAGTCCCTTGTTCAACAGGTTTGTTTGTGTCTGTTTACCTGATTGTATATGCAGACGTACAGTAAACCTCAGGAGACAAAACAATGAACAGTGCAGCGTCTTCTAAGAGAGCTTCAGTGTGGTTGTGCCCACTGTCAGGCAGCCGGATGTCTTTCTCTGTCTCTGCTCACTCGGCTGATGATTGCCAGGTGGAGGACATGCGCAGTGAGCTGCTGAGGACGAGGAGGGAGAGGACCGAGCTTCAGAGGGCCCGGCTGGAGACTTCTCAGCCCATTGCTCAGCCACATGGCAACCACACCGACAGGGAGGAGGGGCAGCGAGGGTCAGGTACTGAATTTCAGTCTGGAATCTGGGGGCGAAGGAACGGAGCATAAACAGGAAGACAGAGAGGATTTGGATGAAGGTTAAATGCACGGGTTAAACGATTACTGTGCCAACTCTGTAACCTCAGAAATAGGAGATAAAATTGTGAGTAGCTTAGAGAAAAGTATTGGAAATCTTACCATCAATGCTTTGTGGTTTTTTTTAGAATGGTATCGATTTTAGGGCATCAAGGGGCCTTAAAAGGCGGTGAACGTTTCAAAATGACAGATTCTGATAAGCTTGTGTAAAGTTCTTTATTAAACCAATATGAAATATGATTTTTCTGCAGATTTATATTATTTCACATTGATTGGATAAAAGACAGTCAAATGCTTGTGTATCAGCATGTTTGTTTATTGTGGAGAATCCTGATTCATTCACACCTCTCATCACTTCATTTATATTCAGCTGATGTCCACCAGCTGTCACGCTGCCTCAAGTGACCAAGAGAAGTGATTGACACGTGAGCCCTAATAGAGTGCTGTAGGTAAAGAGGTAGAATAAATCTCAGCGTGAGGTTAGAAAATAATTCAGAATTGACTCTGCTTAAAGGGGAGCTATCGTGCTAATTGTTAGGTTCATACTTTGTTCATATTTTGGGGTTAAACTCGAACATGTTCACATGCTTTAATGTTCAAAATACACTTTATTTTTCTCACACTGTCTCTGCTGGAACACCTGTATTCACCCTCTGTCTGAGTTGCTCTGTTTTAGTCCCTGTCTCTTTAAGACCAAAGCCTCTGATTGGTTGGCCTTTTCAGGTCTTCCCCATCTCTGCACTGTCATTGCCACAGGGGGATGACCATGGATGTATAAAGAGAACTTAATACAGCTTTGGAGGCGGAGCCCCGTTTATTCCAATGAATAGAGCAAGTACAGTAGAGACTTCGTTTCCCGAGTGGCTAATTTCAGTCGGCTGAGCCAGCTACTTCTGGTTTAGTGCTCTGCTTACTTGTATGGGGATGAAATAATTTCATCATGCAGGTCTTCTAGACTTTTGAAATGTTATCACATTGAGTAGATTCAGTTCTGAAAGTGAAACAAGTCATTCTGCAGTAGTTGTAATGCTCAAAACTCAAGTCACTCAAGTCTAGAGAAAAAAGTCTTTCTGGGCCCTATGGCATCACGTGACGGACCCGGAAGTGGTTGTGTCACAGTTTGGCTGACAATATCAATTTGACTTTTGAGACCAGCGCATTTAGTGGGGACCAGGGAATGACTGCAGCACCTTTATCCACCCTGTCTGAAACGCTCTATTTTAGCGCCTGTCTCTTTAAGCCTCCTGCCCAAAAAACGTCCAATCTGCTCTGATTAGTCAGCATTTCCGAGTCTTCCATTTCCGCATCGTCATTGCAGCCGAGGAATGAATTTAACAGAGAATAGCATCACTTTCTACTGTAAAAAATCACCAAGAAAAGCCCCTGAACCAAAATCTTCACAACCAGATATGTTTACTCAGGAATATTATCTGAATTTAAGGGGAAATAAACATCATCAGCAACCAATATTACATGTTTCCTCGACATTAGCTTGTTGTATTTACTTGTAGCGATGTATGTAATGTACTTGTAATGTACCTTGTCTCGAAAGTAGAAAACAAAATGTTGAAAATAGATTATTCAGAACGTTCTGACGTCTGCGGTTTTTGCTCACAGGGATCACTTTCACATGTTTACCACCACAAACTTTGTTTATTGTGGTTTTTAATAAGTGGTACCGTACTGTATGATATATTCACTGACATTATGTATATTAAGGACAAGACAAACAGAACATGTGGATAAAGAAACAAAACAACATACATATTGAAGGAGCAAAGCCCCAATTGTAAAATGAAAAAAAAAAAAAAACAACAGCAAAAACATCAGGCTATCAGATATGAATTTGTAAAAATTTAAAAGGAGAATTTGCAGGGCCGGCAGAGCTGTGTTTAAGTGAGCATGTCTAATTCTTATTTTTCCTTTCTTTGGAACAGTGGGCAATTGGATTTCCTCTTATAATATGATTGAGAAAGGGATTCCATACTTTATAAACGGTCTTTGTGGAGCCCCTTAATGAGTATTCATTTTCTCTAATTTAAGAAGGTACAGTACATCTTCACTACGGCCACGTCTTATTTGAACGTCCTTTACTGTTACATTATACAGGGTGTCTGCAGGTCCTCAAAAAGTCTTCAGTTTTTATAGATATAAGGTCTTAAAGTCATTAAATAGTCTTTAACTGGAGTATGTGAGGTCTTAATTTCCACAAATATCTACTTTTAAATCTAATTTAATTCATCCATCTACTTTCAGTAAAAATGAGTTGAGATCTTATGCATGAAATTCCATGTTTCTGATGTTACAAATCATTAAATCTACCTCCGTATCTAATACTATCTTTTTACTTTATTATTGCACTTACCTGTTGGCAACATGTAGATTAATCTAACTCACTCTAATAACCACATTCCTACATATATTTTACCCCTGCAAGGGACCATGGAAGGTCTATGAAAGCATTAGATTAAAGTGTATGTTTCCTGTAGAAACCCAGCTTATATAAATGACAGAAAATAAGGAAAAGCGTAACAGGTCCTCTTTAAATATTTATCTCATTCAAAATAAAAATGATGCCTGGGCTTTTTGCAGAAGATACACCACGTGTCTTGTGTTCTCCAATCCATCAGTCACCTTAAGTTCCTTGTCACTCTATGCTCTACTTTTCTTGTCTCCACATGTAGAAATCAATTCTAAAAACACTTTGATTATGTGTCTGCATGTGTGCGTGCATGTGTTTATGTGTATAGATCGTTTGAGCCTGGAGAAAGAAGTGGCAGAGCTGCGAACACAGCTGCGCACAGCCTCAGTCCTCAGTGAGGGTGAAGAACTGAAGAGGACTCTGGACCGCAAGGAGAAGGAGAGGGTCCAACTCAGCTTACAGGTGGAGGTGTGTGTGTGTCAGTGGGTATTTATATTAAACTATGAACTTTAAACCTTTCGTCTTGTCAGCACCCAGATCTCTCTGCTCATAGGCTGTTGCTTGAACTACAAATTATACTTCCACATTCTCCCAAACCTCAGATCAACCGATAAACCTCGACAGTGCTGATCAGTCATTGTCACTGTATTACTTAATACTCACCTAAAATGTTGTCAGAAACATGTTTTAGTGAACTGTTTAGCTGTAATGTGAGATTGTTTGTGACCAGCTGGTTGCCATATTGTTTTCGTACGAGCTACCTGCATTATGTTGGCCACCAGCAGGAGCGTTCTCTGGTCCGGTGTGGTCCATTGTATTCTGGTAGTTGTAGGTTTTTTATCTCTTGAGCAAAAGTGAATGTCACAGCCCTTTTTCTGGTTTCACGTCATGTAGCAATGGTTTCAAAAGTAGTTGCAGTAGAGATGTCGATGCGGTCAACTAAGGCATTTATTTACTGATTGGGATCGGCTATCTTGAGCCTGGTCTGATCCCTACGTCAGCTGACACACTGGTGTTTTTTCTGCAGCTGTCAATAACTGTCCTTGTGTGTGTAAAAGCAGGGCTGAGCCCCTCCCAGAGCGAAACACAACACGCCATAACTGAATGCAAAATGAAGTTTATTTATGTTGTTTACCTAATTCATGTGCACTCGTTTCATTTCAGCTCAGTGTGAGATAGTATCTTGCATTGTGATTTTTGCTCATTATGGTGTTTCACTGCAGCCACGCATGACACCACAGCAAATGCAACAAAAGTCCCACCAGCAAACGACCAGTAAGAGTAATATATTAATGTAACCCGCACAAAAGATGCACAGATAACAAAATAAAACCTCACACATTAAGAGGTAACACACTGGAGAATACTCTCTTGAAGGGGTAGAGAAGGGATGGAGGGGTTTGTGATTTTATCCTACACTAACAGTCAGACAAACAAAAAGAAACATTAAGGAACAGCTTGGATGCAGATGATTTTTTTCTTAATCTGTTGCAGAGCTATTCAGTTGTCAAGCATATACTTTGGATTGGTTTTAAGAACTTTAAAGTATTTGATGTTTGCACTGTGCAGCTGTATTATCTAGGAAAATAAAATAGTATTGAATCAGGACTCTGTACTGACAGATACTTAATATTAAATGACTGATTGGAATCGGGGCCAAAAAACTTGATCAGAAAATCCCTAATTTGTAGATATGTATTTAAAGACCATCTCTCCAGCAGTGAAATACTCCTTTAAGCCCCATTCGCATGGTACTAGTATTACCGGGAGACCTCCAGTAATTGCTCATGCTGATGTCGTCTGTGATCTCAGTCCAATGCAAATCTGCACGTCCGTAATTTGTAGAGTAAAAATTCCAGTGCAAATTACCTCCCATAATTCGCCAACACAGACGTCATAAGATAATACTGATCCAGTGCGAACTGACATCTCTGTGATTTTGGGCCGTATTCAGGTCTTTTGTTTTCTATGGAGGCTGTGTTGGAAATTATAATTGAAAGTTTTTACAGCATTTTGGTGCAGGAGGCTCATCTCGTTACACAGCATGGAGACCCATTCACAAAAAGAGCAAGCTCAAATCTCAAAAGATGATGAGATAGATGACGTGTGACAATGTTTGGCAGAATCTTCTCTGTGTGTTTAACCTACATTTGAAAAAGAAAAATGGATGTTAACACTGTACGTCACTGTGAGCAGTGCTGTGTGAGTCTTTGTTGTGCAGAGTGGAGATACACATGACTGTACGCATCATATCCACGGGGATACTGTCAGTAAATTCAAGTGAAATACAGACTTTGCTTATCCCATGCGAATGTGCAAAAACTCAGACGTAGAGGGTGTAATTTCTAAATCACATGAGCTCCATTGGTAATACCAGTCCCGTGCGAATACAGCTCCAGACATCTATCTGCCTGTCTTTGCTGTATACCCTAACGAATAAATACACTGAGGATTTCTCAGCTGGAGTGAAGGCGAACACAACAGGAGCATGCTTTTTGACTTTGCCTGTGTTGGCCTCTCCACCCTGAGCGGGGTTATTTCAGTTTGTCGGGTGCCTCTCATCCGTGGTCGCATCCTCCGCCAGCTCGATGCCACTTGATCCTCTTAAAATCGTCAGATGAAGTGACAGTTGGAATAGGAGATCAGAAGTCAACCAGCAGTCATTTATCCGTCTCAAACTGGTGCGATGTGTCACTTCCATCACTGTAACAAGATGTAAAAAAAAACTGTAGGAGAAAAAAAACAAATTCCCTTGCTAAGCAGGGGTATTCAAGGCTATGGTGGGTATCAATAAAATGTTAGTAGGAATAGCTGCACTTAAAGCATTGGCACATTCCTCTAATCTCTGATGTTTCTTTCACCAAAAATGTGTTTAAACTCCCACGCTTCCCCTATCGCCGAGTAGGTGTTAAAAGATGAAGTGGGTGTTTGCATGTATCACCTGGGGCGTCTCTTATGGTTTTTATGTCTAGATCAAAATAGACGTTGGAAATGTTTCATTTTAACGGTAAATGAGCAAAACTGAAGTATAATGAGGAGAATAGGGTGGAAGATTCAATTTCTCAGTGACTGAATTTATACAGTCTAATAGGCCTATGACTAATCAGTCTATGACTAATTACTCCTAACTGGCAGTCTCATTCTGTATAAACACCTCAACAGCACCAGGCTAACCTTACTCGCCCTTTACTTAAGACTTCAATCAAACTCAAACTCAAACTGTGATTTTCACGTGGATATGAACTTAATCCAGTGCAACTCTGCTGTCAGACTACTTTTCAGACCAGCCATGCAGATAATCCAATTGTAGGCAGCATGTAAACACAGTCTCAACCTTTCTGTTTTTGCCCTTTGTCCTCGTCTTTGCTCGCTGTTCCCGCCCTTTACTGTTGATCTTTTCTTAAAATCTCATACCTTTTTTCCTTTTTTACTTCCCTCTGTCTTTTTCTCATTTTCCTTGCCTCAATTGCTCCAAACCCCTTCCTCTTCACTCCTGTGTCTCCCTTTCTCCTGCCTCTCTGTCCTTTTCCTCCCATTAGCAGTAGTAGTCGTCACACAAACACACACACACTCTTGACCTTTCTCTGTTCTGTATTCCAGGAATTGTCATCAGACCTGGCGCGGCGGGAGCAACAGCAGCTACGAATGCTGGAACAGCTGAAGGAGATGCAGGTATTTTTATACTGGTTAGTGCGTCACACTAGCTTCTTTTACATCGCCTCTTCAAGGTGGGAATATTACACCATTATGCCACCTTACTGTGTTGTATATAAGGTACGATCGCAGAATGTGGGGACAGAGTTGTCTTAACTCAGAGTCGGGAACGGAGGTTGTGATAGCACGGACATGACGTCTGTATTAGAGGTTGACTGATAGTTGATTTTTAATGGCCGAAATAATGATGATAATTTTGAGTTTGGAAAAAAGTAGCTGTTAGCAGTTAGCAGCTAACTCAAAGAAGAAGAACAGTGGCTAGAATTTTCCACAAATAGGGAAAACAATGAGGCGTCTTACCCTCTGAGCAGAGGACGAGATTAGCCGCCATATAACAGGGACAGTAAATTATTGTTATTGCCATGTCATGCTGTTGTTATTGTTTATAAAGTGCTGTAGACGTGTATATTATATGTCACAAAAGAGGCCCACAAAGTCGTGTTCCATGTCACGCCTTTTTTGATTCCACAATGCCAGGATGCCGTCTAAAATTACACACAGGACTGGAATGGAGTCATGAAGAACCTACTTCTTTGCTGCCCTGTAGTGTGACTTACGTGTAAAAAGGTCTACAGTAATTCATAGCAGATAGGTAATTTGCATCAAGGACTCTAAACAAGGGTTGCTTGTTCTAGTGGCAGATTTAAATTGGAATCATGCTGTGTGTAGCGCCTTACTCTGGACCACAAGTTCATGAAATTACAACGTCAAGACACTGAGAACACTGCGGTAATAAGATCTTTCAGAATTAGGCCTGTTAGACATTTTAGGTAAAAAACAAAACAAAACACTGATTCAGATTCTAAAGAATGAACATACACTTTATTTATGAATTCACTCAGAGCCGAGGGCAGGCAGAGAGGAGGGAGACAGAGGCGTTACTCCAGGAGAGCACGAGGAGCAGAGATGAATTGAAGACCAGGGCCCAAGAGGCCGTGCGCCAGTGGAGGGCAAAGTGCAGGAGGCTGCAGAAGGAGCTGGAGGAGGAGAGGGCCCAGGCTCAATTCCATACCAACAAGGCCTCGCAGGTCAGTGGACGCAGATGCATTCATTACATGACTTTTGAAACCACAGACTACAGTTGCAGCTGTGGCTAAGTAACTGCTGATCTTTGTAATGTTGGAAAAACGTACATCTTAGCAACTCGTTGAGTGGAGTGGACCCAACTGCCCCAGGTCAAGGTATCACTAATGCAAGGAGTAGGATTGTAAAACTACATTTGAAGCCAGAAAAATAACCATTACTACGTCCTTTAAAGTAGGGCTGGGCAAAATATTAATATTATGTTGATATCGTAATATGAAACTAGATATCATCTTAGATTTTGTAAGTCTTAATATTCTAGTCTTGTCTTTCTCTGGTATTAAAGGCTGCATTACAGTAAAGTGATGTCAAATCCTGAATTTACCTGACTTCTACAATTTGTCTTCACCCACTTAGTCATCACATCCACACTACTAATGATTACATATTAAAAATCTGAAAATAGTCTGTGTCAGCACCAATAGCGAGTGCTACAATATGTGCGCAATATCGATATCGAGGTATTTGGTCAAAAATATGGTGACATTTGATTTTCTCAGCATGCACAGCCCCATTTTAAAGAGATAGTCCAGCCTTTTTACACATAACGATAGGTTTAATCATCTCAAGAGCACGACACAGCCTGTAAAAACAGTTTTAATAGCTTTCCAAAGTTTGGAAAAAGAAACCTGAAGCTGTCATCAAGGTTATTTCAGCTTGGCCTTGAGGCTCAAATAAATTAACATTAAGTCTGAGTTACAATTTGGAGGTTCTAGGAGGCCTCTAGGAAGCAGGGGAGATCTAATAAATGGTGCTGTTGAGCTGCATTATGGGAAATGGAGGGTTTTGGGACTTTGACAGGTACAAGGGACTTACAGTTAAGAGATCTCTGCCTTTGCTGCTTCAATTTTATGATTCCTCTTTTCATCTTTCACTAGAGTGTCTCTTTAAAGCAACATTTTGCATCAAATTATTTGGATCATGGGTGCAAGAGCTGCACCTACAGACAGATTTCTGTTAAAAGGGAGTCATTTTTCATCCTTCACAGGCTGTTAATTTTTACCACCAATGCAAAAACAGATTTTACTCGTATTATTTGCTTCAAATTTGCTCCAAAGTATGCACATTCAAAGTGGTGCGATGTGTATGTTTGGGGCTTTTATTGTGAAGGGCAAAACAGAAGGAGTGAGGTGATAATGTACTGCTGTTAATCATGTAGGAAGCAGGAAAATTTTGGCCGTCTTGGTTAGGGCTACGGAGTCTCCATGTGACTTTTTTAAGCCTGCCTTTTTTTTAAGTTCCAACGTTAAGTCAGGGAAATCTTTCTCACAAGCACCAATGCTAGACGTCCAGTCTGTTTATGATAGGTTGGGTTTATTAAAAGTTAAATCCACTCTGACACTATTCATACTGGCAAAGAAGTTGCAGGGTTCCTGGAAAAGCTGGTAAATTAGACAAACTGTTTTCAAGGCCTGGAAATACTTTAAAATTAACAGAACGTTCTGAAAGAGTTTTGAATGTACATTGTTTTGGCTGTTGTTTAAAATGTGTTCATAAAAATGCCAAGACTTGTCAGGAATATCGAATTTGTGAGCAAAGATAGCAAGCACCAAAAGTTTGCTTAACCAGAAATACCTGTGTGTTTATAGGCCCACCCATTTTAAAATACTTAAATTAAGTCATGGAAAATGGGTGAAATAATATTGAAACATTTTTAAAGAATTGGTTGGTAAAACGTGTGGGAACCTTGAAGTTGCCATTCTCCTACTGAAAAAGTTTGTCCCATGGTGTAGAGAGCGTTGTTTATGAGGTATTTGGTGGTAAGGCCTCTGAGCAGCCTACATGGAACACTGTACAATAAAGAAACTTGTGCAGTTGGTAGACAAGCAAAACAATTGTTATTACTTTGAATTAGTTAGAGATGAAGAAGTGCTGTGTCTGTTCTCAGGGTAGTCAGGATACCAATCAAAAGCTCTTAGTAGTCAGCTGCTGATTTTGTTCCTGTTGGCAATAGTCGTTCTGTTCGGCTTATCTTTGAACAAAGTGAAAGCCCTCAGTTGTTGCACAGAATCCAGCAAAAGTTTACCAGACTGTGGTAAATCTCACTGCAGCTTATTGACTAGGTATCAGTTGGCACTGGTGGGCAATTGCAGCCCAAATACATCAACTCCACTCATCAGCTCCCAGCAGCCCTGTCTCAAACGATCCGGATAGTGCTGCCACTGCTGCTGCTGCTGCTGCTGCTGCCGGCTGGGCTAACAGCTAGCCAGCTGGCAGCTCTGTCAACAACAACTGACTGTCTTTGTTGCATTTTCTGAGCAGTGGACTCTGGCTCGTGCATACCTGCTTTGACTTTGACAGTGTGTTCTAAAATTTGAAGTAATCAATAATGTCCGGGCTGAAATGCATTTCTCAGCTCCAGTAGTGGAGTGATTTGTGGCGACGCCCCAGGCGGACAGAATAAAACAAAACTTATCTCAGCCCAACTCTCCCTGTAGTCCTGCAAACCATGGTGGAAGTGGGATTCACAGTGTATTGTCAAGTGCTGTGAACATTATGAACACACGACACCAAAAATGTACACTCTGTTGCTCAGATTTTAAATGTATTAGCACCTCTGTGTTTCTAAGCAATGATCCTCCCTCTTTTGTTGCATTAAAGTATATAGGACATTCAAGTTTAAATCTCGTTTTAGAGAAAATAAATCAGCACCCTCCTATCACAGGGGAAATACACATGTTAAAATATTTATGAGTTTTTCCTGGTCCAGTTCTTTCATGTTCTTTCATAGCAGAAATGGACTGGAAAATCAGCAAGCAGCACCTTCTGTACCTTTAATGATTGTAAAGAGGAGATATAAATAAATATCTCTTGCAATCCATATTGTACGCCACATGCAGTGCTCTTGTGATGATGAGAAGGAAACTGGACTACACACCAATACAAATTATACATGATGAGAAATGTTCTGCCGTTTTTATTGTTGCTTTTCAACCCAAACAAAACAAAATGGTTTGATATTTATGCATGCTTTTCTCTGTTCATTTTTATTCATACTTTATCTGTTGAGAAAAGAGGGTTTAGTATCAAAGTCAGATTAAACAGTTTAGTCAACAGAGGAAAATGATGGCTTTGTACATTTCTGTAAACCACAGATACGTTATATTTGTACGTTTCACACGTATTATATAAACATTCTAAAATGACTACGCTCTGACTACAAGTTTATCAGCTGACTTTGTCACTGGAACATCAATACCGATTTTTAGCAACACATGGTGGCATTTCCAGCTGTGATTGTGCCACCAAAAGCAGCTTTTTCTTAGCGAGACATTACTAGCATTACTAGCTGCGATTAAACCACTAAAAACATGTTTTTTAGTGAGACAACAGTGGCATTTCCGGCCTTGATTGTGCCACCAAAAGCAGCTATTTCTTAGTGAGACATAGGCTGCATTTCCAGCAGCAGTTGTGCCACCAGAATCAGGTGTTTTTAGCAAGTCATGGGCAGCATTTCTAGTTGCGTTTGTGCCACTAAAAGCATGTTTTTTAGTGAGATGTTGGTTGTTTTTAATGGAGACATGAGTGGCATCTCCAGCCATGATTATGCCACCAAAACTGGGTGTTTGTTAGTGAGACTTTGGCGGTATTTCTAGCTTTTATTGTGCCGCCAGTAGCGGGTGTTTTTTAGCGAGACATGAGCGGCATTGTCAGCCATGACTGTGCCTCCAAAACTGGGTGTTTATAAGTGAGACATTGGCAGCACTTCTAGCTGTTACTGTGCCACCAAAAGCGTTTTTTTTTAATCAAGTCAAAGATGGCATTCCTGACCTTGATTGTGCCACCAGAAGTGGGTGTTTTTTTAGCAAGACATAGGCAGCATTTCTAGCTGCGTTTAAGCCACTATAAGCATGTTTTTTAGTGAGACATCAGTAGCATTTCAAGCCTTTATTGTGCCATCAAAAGCAGGTGTTTTTAAGGGAGACATGAGCAGCATCTCCAGCCATGCTTATGCCACCAAAACTGGGTGTTTGTTAGTGAGACTTTGGCGGTATTTCTAGCTTTTATTGTGCCGCCAGTAGCGGGTGTTTTTAAGCGAGACATGAGTGAAATTGTTAGCCATGATTGTGCCACCAAAACTGGGTGTTTGTAAGTGAGACATTGGCAGCACTCCTAGCTGTTATTGTGCCACCAAAAGCGTTGTTTTAATCAAATCATAGGTGGCATTCCTGACCTTAATTGTGCCACCAGAAGCGGGTGTTTTTTAGCAAGACATAGGCAGCATTTCTAGCTGCAATTGAACCACTTAAGGCGTGTCTTTTAGTGAGACATCAGTGGTATTTCCAGCCTTTATTGTGCAGTCAAAAGTGGGTGTTTTTAAGGGAGACATGAGCGGCATCTCCAGCCATGATTATGCCACCAAAACTGGGTGTTTGTTAGTGAGACATTGGCGGTATTTCTAGCTTTTATTGTGCCACCAGCAATGGGTGATTTTTAGTGAGAAAGGTGGCATTTCCTGTCGTGATTGTGCCATTAAAAGCTGGTGTTTTTTAAGGAGAAATAGGTGGCATTTCTATCTTTTATTATGCAATCAAAAGCTGGTGTTTTTTAGGGAGACAAAGGCGGAATTTCCAGCTTTGAGACTGCCATCAGAAGTGGGTGGTTTTTTTGCAAGAAAGATGGCATTTCCATATTTTTTGGTATTTTTTGGGAGATATTGGCAGTATTTACAACTTTGATTGTGCCACCAAAAGCAGCCTTTTTTTAGCGAGACATCAGCTGCATTTCCAGCGCCGATTGTGCCACCAAAAGTGGGTGATATAAGCCAAAACATGATCCTTTCCTAAGCGTAACCAAGTGTTTTTTGTGCCTAAACAAAACCACAGGTTAACTCCAGTGTTGTTGAAACATAAAGAAACTTCGAGTTTGAACATATCGGCTCCATAATGACATACAGATGTTACATATCTGCAGTTTGCACAAACATAAAATGCCAACATTTATGCTGGTGATTGGGAAGGGTTAAAACTCTTGAATAATGCACTCTGAATGAACTTAATAATAATATAACCAAACATGAAATCAAGCATTTTGAGTACCCTTACATGATATGTTACAGCGGTTGTGCTTAGTTGAATAATTAACGGCTGACAATTATTATTAGATTGAAAGTCACCTCCCATTGATTTACATTCCATTTGAACTGAGTGAGTCACCTCCAAACTCAGTCAGCAGCCTCGCACCTCACACACAGACAGACAGACAGACTCCCACCTGGCATACTCGACGTGACGCGAATTAATTACAAAATCATTTCTGCCCCCTTAATGAATTAGGGGAGAGAATCAAGTGCTCAATTAAATGATTAGGTTCTGAGCTACAGCAAAGTCTTTGCAAATTCTAGTCAAAGCCAGAGTATTAGAAGCAATCTGCCTTGAACAGACCTGACCATTGTCCCTTATCAGGGAGCTGAGTGCTAGCATTTTCCTATCAGTGCAAGAGCTGGTACTGCATATGTTTCTCTGCCTCTGTCTCTCTGTCACTCTTTCTCCTGCTCTCATCATTATTGTTAGAGCCCTTTTTTGTACACCATCTTCCGCCTCCTCTTCATTTGTCATTCTTCATTTCCCTTCTCCTCTCCTCTCCTCTCCTCCCTCTTCCCCGCTCTCTCTTTCTCTCTTTTGCTCCCGCTTTCTCTTCCTCCCTCCAGGCAGCCAGGGAAAAGGAGAGCTCTCAGGCCCAGCTGAAGGCGCTGAGCCAGCAGACTGAGGCGGCCCGCAGGGAGCTCGCTGAAATCTTAGGCCGCTTGGCCCAGCGCGAGGAAGAACTCCACCGCAAGGACGTGGAGCTGTCTGAGACCCGCCAGCGCCAGTTGTCACTGGAGCAGGAAATCCGGGAGGTACGGGGTCGAGCATCCAGAAAACGAAAATATCTTTCAAGTCACAAGGGACACAAAAAATTCAATGTTATTTATTTCACTTATAGGACTGTAGACTGTGGGGCAACATTCAGTAAACTTCATCCTTCCTAACATTTGAATCAGGCTATCTACGAGTGTAGTTTATTGATTCGAGACCAGTTTAACTCACCTTTTAAAAATGACAGCAGTCAGCAGAGAGGTTGAATCAGACAGTATCACACTCCCACCATGAAGTACGCTGCTGGGTGTCATGTAATGATGACACCTTTGGTTGTCAGCAAGCACTGAAGTTATGCAGAGGTAGATGTAAATCAATTCTCTTTTGCAAAATGCTCGTTTAGTAGTTACAGTGACATTACACTAGGATTTTTGTACCAGGATTTCTCTCAGAAAGGTCGTTAGGCCAAGTAGAAGATATCTTTTCTAGGGGTTTAATGGTACATGAAATTTTAGCGCTGTACACAACTCAGAATTATGTCAGTCAAATCAGATTTGGCTGTTCAATACCAGCATTTGACTGTTTGTTCTTGCAGATGTTGTTATGTTTCCAACTGAGCCACCCCACTGTAACACTGTAAAAACATCTTAAAATTACATTAGAAAAGAAACCCTGTGTACAAATCCCAATCAAACCACAGACACGGCTGAAATTTTGATTTAATTCTGTTGGCAGACTAATGTGTCATGATCAGTTTGAGGAGTTGTTAAAGTAAAGGCATAATTAAACCTCAGCCACAGAGTCATTAAGAGAGCTTTGATCAGATGCTAACAGATCCTAACCCTAGGTGAGGGAGGCCTCGGCTGCCCTGGAGGAGGAGACTCTGCGTCTGGCCACCATCCAGACAAGACTGAAGGAAGAGAACCAGAGGCTGGAAGAACAAGCTGACAGCCGAGCCCGTCGCTGTCAGAGAGACCAGGACACGCAGGCTGAGCTCCAGGCCGCTCTAAAGCAGATGACCTCAGCCCATGCTCAGCTCATCCAGCAGTTAGCTGAGGAGGAGAGCTCCAAGAAGAAGCTCCAGAAGGGCTCCATGGAGCTACAGGCCAAGCTGACAGCAGTGCAGGAGGAGCGGGCCGCGCTGGGGCAGCAGCTGCATCTCGAGAGAGAGGTGCATCAGAAAGAACTGGACAACACGAAGGCGATGATGGAGGAGAGCAGGACGAAGAAGTATCGTGAAGTGCAGGACATGCTAAAGCTCTGCCGGGAGGAGCGGGATGAATTACAGGCGCGCCTGAAGGAGGTTAAGGTAAGGCCTTTTTATTAATATGCCCAAAGTATTTTATTCCATATGAAAATGTGCATCTTGGGAAATACACTTATTCACTTTTTTGCAGGATGATACCTGCTGTCATGTCTCTACAGTAAATGGGTAGCTAAAGCCAGCAGCTGGTTAGCTTAGCTTAGCTTAATTAAAAGACTGGAATCAGTTTGACTGTGTCCAAAGGTAACGAAGCTAGAAACTTCCTGTGCGCAACTCTACCCTGCTCAGTACGGCCCACTTTATAATGTGTAGCATGATTGATGTGGATATGCACAGGCTCTTTTTATGTGTCATGGCTCATGGGCTGCTTTCATCCTGTTTTATATTGGTTAATTTGCAATCACACGCACCACTAACAGACTGAGAGAGACCCGCTGCTGCAGACAGCGCCATGATCCAACTTCTGGGAAGGGGCTACAATTACATACATACATACAGAAACACTCACTGTGTACATTTAGAAGAACACAGGGCATTAATTAACACTGGGATGTTGTTACCTGCGGGCAGAGCCAGGCTAGGTGTTTTCATTTGTTATGCTAAGCTAAGCTAACTGGCTGCTGGATGTGCCGACATATTTATCACACAGACATTAAAGGGGTATCAATTAGGAATGTCACGATTAGGACATTGATTTTTCTTCCTGGTAATAAACTGGTGACAACACGTGTTCCTGATTACACCAGACATTTTACAGAAAAGGTTATTTGTCGATGACACTCTTGTATCTGTAGAGCGTTTACTTAAATCTTTCTCTCTGAACAGTACATTATTTCTTTTGGCCGCAACTCGGCTTCCTCTTCCTCTTCCTCTTCCTCTTCCTCTTCGTCTGCCTCTTCTCTTACGGAGTACGCTCTCCACCTGAGGATGACCGCTTCTTCCTCCATTATCCTCTTCTTTCTTCGACATTCAGGTTGTAGTCACCCTGGTAGCGCAGGTCTGTGAATGTTGCCTTGTGTATAAGGTCCAAGTTTTCCTCTGGCCGAGCTCACTGTGGTCACACCATCGACACTTTGGAGAGAAGTATTGATTGCGTGACCGTAATCAGAGCTCCGTGCTGCGATTCTGCTGCTGCTGAACGAAGCAGATATTTTCAGTTTGTAGTTAGAGCATCCATCATCTGCCAAAGTATCGATTACATGTTCAGTATTTTACAAAATAGAGATTTTGAAGTTGATGAACATGGGCACTCATATTCAAATAGGTTTTATCTATCTTTTAAAAAAGCAAAACGATGATAGGGCCAGAGGGCAAGTAATGTAAGCGGTGTATGCCTGAACACTACGGAACACGGAGTAACACCATGTAACACTGCAGCAAGTCTAGTAGCAGTTAAACTCTTTGCAAAAAATTGTATTTCCAGTGTTGTTGTATGTTGAACTCTTCCTTTAAACGTACCTAAATGCAATTCTAAAAAGCAACACTGAGCTCTAGATTATGTATTAGATGTGACACACACTCGTAATTTGTCGAATCTTGTGAGCAGTCAAGGTCATAAGCCAACCACGGAGATTCTTTGTCCTTTTCACCTAGGCATGGATCACAGAGTGGCACACTCTAATTAACATTTAGAGTATCATTGGCACACACTTCACATTCAGCACAGGGTAACATGCCTCAGCCACTAAACATCTGGCTTATTTCCGACTCAGCGAGACACAGACAAAATCCTCATTTAGAGTAATTTTCTTCATTGGCCGGGGCTCTGTCCTCTGAGTGCGGGTGAATCGAGGATAGCTGAGCTCTTAATGGTGTGTGGTGCCCCGTGGATCCTCGTGGCCGTTCCAGAGCTCCAAGCGTGAATATTTAAACACCCCCGATATCAGACCTCAGAAGTCTCATCAAGGCAGTGCTGGAGATAGGGGACTCCACTTGACTTACTCCCCGAGTGCCCTACCCGCCTCCCTCCCTTCGATATCTCCGATGATGAGCCCTCATGGGTACATTGTTTCTTAAGGGGCATGGTCCTCCCTGATATGGTTGAGTTTAGCCCATTAGCAGTGCTGAATGGCATTAATATCTGACATAGCTCATTGTAATGGTGTCATTTCTGAGCGCAGTAAGGACAAGGGCGTTTGCTGGAATGTTTTAAAGTACTAGCCTACGGGTGCTGCAGATGTCCCTAAGAAGCCCACCCAATATTCACACAGCATAGCCAGAGGCCTGTATTACGATTTTGATATAGTCAACTGTCAGAAAAAGCTTAAAATATTCTTATTTTCTTGTCCTTGTCCTCTCACTCTTGATTTCTCCTCCACTCTATCTTTCTTCTCGCTGTCTCTCTCTGTCTTAATCCCTCTCTTACTGCCTCCCTCCAGTTCTAATTTTGCATTTTCCATCTGTTTTTCTCTCTCCTCTCACTTCCAGCACTCCTGTTTTTTTATTCATTTTTTCTTTGTTTGTGTCACTCCCGTCACTCCCAGTCCTCAGTCACTTAACTGTATCTTCAGCTGTGTGTGATAATGTAATAATTGTGGATAGAGAGCTTATGTCTGAGGCTGGATTTGCCTTTAATTAAAGCTTCAGCTGGACTGAGACATGAATTAAGGACTTAGGGACATGATTTCAGTCTTGGCATTTACCCATTCTCTTGACCCATTATATGATGCTCTCTGTTTGTGTTGCACAGAATGTCATGTCAGACATGATTGTGAATTCACCCTGCACCTGTCAGATGTGACTAGATCTTTTACAAGTTGTTTGGGTCCACTGGCAAATTTGGCATCCTGTACGTATGATCCAAGCATTTATGTCAACTTTGAAAACTTATTTGCACTGTGTAAGTATTTTTTAGCGCTTGAAAATCACAGAAGTTGAAAACTGCAACCTGCTTCATGTTGATATACTTTTGCAGCAGATAAACCCCAAGTCGCTATTATCTCAAATTACTGCCTGTGTGTATCACGGCCTTTAACACACCCATTCTCTACCAGGCAGATGCAACGTCAGACAAGGAGCTGTGTGGGGCGCTACGCATCAAGTTGGACAGGATGAAGGATGAGTGCGATAAGCTGGCAGCACAGCTGAGCACAAAAGACGAGGCACATGCACTCCTCCACAGAAAGTACCAGCTAGTCAAACAGGAACTGGATGACAAAGTAAGCCCTGCCTCCTTTGCCAGTAGTGACTAATATCGGAAGACGTGACACTTCCAATAAATGAGGAGTATGTGTTGTCGTATCAGTGAAATACATCTATCCTCTGCAGGAGGAGGAAATATTTGTGTTTATTCTAATTAATCGTGACAAATGAAGTCCGAGGACACGTAAATAGTGAATGTGCAGACATCAGTACCGTCAGGAGCTGCTGTAGTTCCAGTTTTAACAGAACCAGGCTTTTAACTGAGTATCGAGGTTTGACACTATAACTTTGACACCTTATTTGATACCATTTACATAGCATGAGGAGAAAAACACAAGCCATTTAGCTGAAAGATAAAGATAATCACATAATATTTCTCTAGTCTAGAAAATTCACACAGCAGTCAGAAAGATATTTGGGGTTTTTGGTTTGTTTGTCTTAGAAAAAAACAATAAAAAGGGCCCTGACACACCAAGCCTACTGTCACCCGTCTGTCAGTGTCATGCTGTCTGTGAGAATCTGTGGCCTTAGTTTTTGCAGTGTATCCCACACCGTTGGCAGTATTCAGCACTTGTTGCTAGCTTTTTTTGGCCGATTCATCATGTTTAAATTGGTGTTAGAGACGGTGAAGTCTGTCAGTGAATGAAATCTCTGATTGGCAGTTCAGTTTAGTGCACAAGAAAAAAACGCAAGCGAGGACAGCAAACAAACAACTAAAGTAAAGAGGGCGTGAGATCGAGATAAATGTGTTATATTGGGTAAGAATGTTTTCTTTAGCCATTGAGCTCTTTAGCCGAAACAGTTTGTAGTTGTGTTATTGTTCGCTAGCGCACGGAAAAAATGTGCTAACTGGCAAATTAGTGTCTTGAATGGAAAGTTATTGCTTCTAGGCGCAGAACATGCCTGCTAGTTGCCTGTTGGCTGTGGTCTTTGCAGTTTGTCCAAGTGCAACTTTTTAGCCAAGACACAGGCAACATGAGGGGATGCAACAGTTGAGCTTCTTTACTACTAGTTCATTAATGTCGATTTGGTGTGTCTGGGCCTTCAAGGGGACCTGTTACGGTTTTCCTTATTTTCCGTCATATCTACAGCCCCTTTTACACTGCTAGATTTTCCGCGAATGTTGGGCCGTTTTGCTGGCAAGCTGCAAGCGTTTATACACACAGAGGCGGATTTGCGAGTTGATCTGAGGTGCCCAATTTTCTGCCTTGTAGGGTAGTCATACTGAGTCAGACCGAGGCGGCCCTCCACCACAGGAGGGGCTGTTGATGACTTGTGGGAGGAGCTGTTGATGATGCCGCACGTGCGAGCCACTGGCGGTGGAGAAACAGGAAACAGCTGATAGCAGGAATTAGCAAGCAGCTAGTAGCAAGAGGGAAACACAAACCTGACAGACACTGTAAAGATGAGCAACTGGGGAGACAAGGAATTGCGTGCCCTCCTTGCCCTCGCAAACGGAGAGGCCATTAACCGTGAGATGACAGGGACGGTGAAGAACGGGCCGATTTATGAGAGAATTGCCGCCTGACTACCTCCGCCTGACCAGCCGCGGCTTCCCTCCCACGTCACTGTTTACGTCACACGCTGAGCTACATGTTTTGTTACTTGTTCACGCCCCCCATTGCCCCGAAAAAGGTACATTCTGTAAACAAAAGTAGGTAGGCGGCATTGTGCTGCACTCCCCAATTTTGTTTTTATACTGCCAATGCTGAAAAAAGACTGATTGGGCTTTCCTGCAAATTTTCACAATTGCTATCTAAAAGGGCTTATGTTAAATAAGAGGGCCCGAAAAATCAGCTGTGACCCTACATGAACCCACACACAGCTTCTGGCCAAGCCTGACCCAAGCCCAAACCATGGCAGCAGTTCTGGGCCTGATTAAAAGTTAAGGGCTAATATGTTTCTTTGCACCACCTCTCCTTCTTGTCCTTATCTTAGTAGTCTGTCATCTTATGCACAACAGGCTGTGCAGAACGGGCTGAGCCCCTTCAGTGCGTCAAGTGCGCAGGGTGATCCATGCACATCTCTCCCACTGAAGGACAGAAGGATGTACTGCCAACCAAGTCGCCTTGCAGCCTCTTTCTCGACGTCTTTCTCTCGTTTTCCGTCCCTCTCTTGCATGCGCTCTCTCTCTCCCCCCCATACTCTATTATTCCATTGTTACGTCATGTTCCCTCTCTCAGTCGCACAGTCGCAGTCCCTCCCTCTTTGTCTCTCTTTCCCTGATTCAGTCCATCACAACTCCTGCCATTTACGCATGAAAACTGCCAGTGTCAGAAAAAACAAACAAAAAACAGCTAAATTGGTGAGAACCTGACCTGGTTCAAGCCCAGGGGCTATAATGACAAATTATAGCCTGATTGTCTGCCCGAGCCCCCGGTCAGGTTTGGGCAGAGAATTAAAGCTCTAGTTAAAGTGTCAGATGTTCATATTAAATGTGTCCAAAATTCCAAATAATGAGGTAAACACATGAAAGCACAAACCTCAGACTTCAGACCCTTATGAACTTTGAACTCTGTTTCTAATGTTTGTCTTTTTTTCTACTTTTTGACACAAACTGATGTCAGCTTGTGACGGATTTCTTTATATGGTCGTCTGCTCCAGGCACGCTACTGCAAGTGTTTACATTATATACAATGCTACATGTAGCTACATGCTAACGTAAGGGAAGAAGCATTTACTGGTAATTTTTTACAGTAGATGGTGCCACTATTCTCTGTTACAGTCATTCCCCGGCAGAGATGCTGAGATTAAGACCCAGATACCCTAAATGATCAGAGCAGACTGGGCTGTTTCGGGAGGGGCTCTCACAACAGGTGCTAAAATGGAGTGTCAGAGTGTGAATACAGATATTTGAGCAGAAACCGTACGAGGACAATAAAGTGTTTTTTGAGCATTAAAGTATGTAAACATGTTCTCATAGAAACCCAAGATACAAGTCTGAATAAAAAAGAATAAGCGTGATAGGTCTCCTTTAACAAATTTGCAGATCGTTATCTCCTTTGCTGGCTCAGATATAGCTGAAGCAGGAAACAACAAAAGCATATTCAAACTTAAACCTACAAGGACAGTGCTCTCTGTCACTCCCCCCTTCCTTCCTGGCATTAAGGATATGGTGAGGTCACATGATCAGACAAACATAATAATGGTTCGAAAGGTTAAGTGGTGCCAAATCAGCAGTATTTTTAGAGGGGTTTCATCAATATGTCCTCAGGTGTTTTACAACAGCAGATGAAGTATTGAGCCCTTACTCACTTCTCTGACAGGCCCCTGATAAGTTGTGTGGGGCTCTTTTGGGATCCATGTATTGATTTGAAATCGGGTGAATGGAGTAAAAGGGCTCTTATTAATGTAACATGGGTGGTTTATTATCCCAGAGACAGGGTAATGATCCACGGTCCCTGGGCAGCACTGATCTGTTGGTTCCTGTGCCTCGGACATATCGATCCACTGTGTCCTGGTAGGGATCCTGAAACTATTGACAGTGCAGGTCAGAGGAGGAAACTTAACCAGGTCTGTTTGTTTGAGAGGCTCTCTGATGCACAAGGTCTGTCTATTTTTCTCTCAGTGTCTTATTGAGTAAATCTTGTATTCTTGTATTAAGAAAGCCAGGATTTCTCTACTCATCTACAGAACATCTGCTGTAATCAGTGTCCTTATACTGTTGTAAGATTCAAATGACCTGAACTGAAAAAACACCAGACAGCGATCGCTAATTTGAATCCATACTACCCAGCTCAGCTCTCTCCCATCCTCCACAGGTCAGGTCAGGTGAGCGGAGACGTGCTTCAGAGTCGGAGCTTGTTAAGCTGGAGGAGAAGGTGTTGCGGATGGAAGCATAGCAGGAGGCAGTCCTTACCTCCATGGGCGAGGAACTAGATGCAGCTTGTTGCAGCCTTGCGAAGAACGGTGAAGACAAACTACAGGTATTTTATTTGATTACAATTTAATTCTGTATTGTTTTGTTTTGATTGTTATGAACGTCTTCAAAACACACTCACAGATAGTGATATGGCATCGGCTTGTTAATGAACATGTTTGCAATCAATTGCCCCATTTACACACCCAGCACACACTGATCAACATGAACCTCCCACTGGAGTCGTCCAGTATTGGTCCAACATTGACTCAACGTTTAGCTCCGATGGTCCACCAGCTTCTGAGAAACAAGACCAGATCAAAACCTAATATTGAGCTGGATCATGAAATGCTTGAGGGCTTTTAATTTGAATCGAGGACTTTTACTTTAAAAAAGGAAGCTGTGGCTAATACTCAGTCACAGACTTCAAGTTGGGGATGTACATCTCCACGTGACAGGTGGAGGCTGCGCAGCCATCGGCCACCATCAGCGCCAAGTTCCCCCAATAACTGATCTCACCTTCTGCTGTCCAGCCAAAAATATGTGGGTCTTTTTGTTTGCTACGAGCTATAACCAAGCTACAGTTACAGCTCGACTAGGCCGTTTAACTGGACTACTGTCCTTGTCCCAGTATACAAGCACGGGAGGGGAATCCATTTATTGACCCAAGTATGTTCGACTCCTCTACGATAGGTGGAGATATGCCCCCTTTCAGCTTGTTAGTATTGGACCTTTTTCCTGTTGACCTATTACGTCACAAACCAAACAATGGACAAACAAGTTAGCTTCGGTTAGCTAGCAGCTAACTGGTGTTATAGTGGACAACTTTACAGCTCTGTACATTTCATCTGTACAAAAAGTCACGGCTCTGGAATCTGGATGTAGATTTCTCCATGTTGTTACCGGCTCTTCTTCTGTTACATGCTATTGGACTTCCGGGTCAAAGCCTGAGGTGGAAACTGTGGAGCATGCTCAGAGCGCCTCAGCCAGTTTGGGTCTGATTGACTGTAAACATGCAGGAGTCACATTATCTTGGTGTGTTAGTCCGACTGTGAGAAACTCAGTTTAGTACAATTTCAGTTTGACTAATATGTTTATATGTATTTTAAAAGTTCAGTTTGAGAGAAGTGTCTTGTCAGTTCATGCTGGGCAGGTAGCATGCATTAACTTTGTCTGGAAATGTTTGCTGGTGATGGAAATGGCTGCCTGTAGTTGTACAGTATATGAGAAGGTTGGTGAGAGTCAGCTATTCTGTATCTGTGAGGTCCAGAGAATCAAAACAGTGAAGCTGCACTGAGCCGCAGTTTGGTTACAACTCTCAGTGGGTTTGGTACTGTTAGCAGCTCTTTCACATTATGCAGTCGTGATTCAATGCTAATATCAATATTTAACTCCATGTCTTTGCCGTAATTAAGCGTATTAGTGGGCAGTCTTTTGAGACAGTGAGATGAAGACATATTAGAGTAAAAACAAAAGAAAACTTCACTACTTTATATGGTTTTGTGTTTGAGTTCTAACATACAAAGTGTGTAGTTGGAAGTTCATCACACCCAGCTAGTCTTGGTTTAAGTGTTAAAGTAAAAAATAATCCTTAAAATGATGCTGCAGCTGACAATTATTATTATTATCAGTTTGACTGCAGATAATGTTTTTTATTGATCATTTGGTCGATAAAAATCAGAAAAAGTAAAAAATTTCCCATCATAATTCTCTTCATCAGATTTAAGAACCGTGAAACACCAAATTTGGGTATTTCTACTGGAAAACTTACCTTAACAATAAATCAAATATCAGAACAGTTTTTCTGTCCATTTACTAATCTCTGCAGCTAGGGATGCACCGAATATTCGGTAACCTAATATATTCGGCTGAATATTGCAAAAAAATACACATTCTGTATTTGATGTAATAAGTGAAAAGCAAGGCTGAATAATGGCAGCGTGTTTTGCTGATGCAATCATACAGCGTGCGGTGACGGACGGAGTAAAATGTCGGCAGTGTGGCGATATTTGAAAGTGTTGGAGAGTGATAGAAGAAAAGCGGTTTGCAAAGAATGTAATACTGAACTATCTAGAGTAATGTTGCAAAGTATACTGGTACCAACGGTAGACCGCGGTACTAAAACACCACCGTACATATGATGCCATAATGTTGGAGTAACGTATTATTACGGTACCTCAGGTACCACTACTGTGGGATAAGTTCAAAGTCCAATCACAAGAGGGTGAGTGTCCATGCGCCGTCCAATAACGGTGTGCTCTGGCCACCTGGCATTCAGTGTGCCGCTGCAGTGGTTTGTTTTCCTCTTCTTGGTGTCATGACTGCCCAAAAGTACCTGGACAGCCGAGCCGTGGCGGCACACAGGTATGTGACATGTCATAGGAGAAATGAGCCGTTCACATTTCTCTCTTTGTGGCAAGTAACAGTCCACAAAGCTCACCACACTTAAGGGACTGTTCTTTACTTGTCAGGGGAGGAGGGTGGCTGGTTGATTTTTGGTTGATTTTAATTTTATTTATTTATTTTATTTTGATCCCCCCTATGTTAATCACTTATTGATGCTGTTTTTGAAGTATGAATAAGTCATTAATTAATTTATTCCATTGAATTATCATTGATGTATTATAGAAAATTGATTTATCTTTTTATAAATGACAAAAGGCACATCTGCCTCATTTTCGCTGTGGTATCGTGATACTACTCAGAACTGTGATACTTTCACTGGTATCGTACCGTGGGTCCCAATTTTGGTACCGTGACAACACTAATCTGGAGGGTGTTCATCTGCAAAAACTAATGAAATACTAAACAACAGTATCTGGTACTCGGTATTCGGCCAGTCGTTTAATTTTATTCGGCTTCGGCCATAAATTTTCATTTCGGTGCATCCCTGTCTGCGGCTCTAGATCACATGCATGCACTCACTCTTCCTTATCAAGGCCTGCGTATTCTGCACATTCTGTATTGAACACTGTGATGACGGCTGTATGGTGGCTTCTACTGACTACAAAATTATTTCATCTTATTGAGTGAAATGTGTTTGTTTTGGTAAAGAAGACGTAAGAAACCAGACAGATGTTGATGACAAGAAGATAAGTTTATGTATGAGTGTGTTTTGTATGTTTCTGTGTGCACAATCTGGTGAAATTACAGTGCTTTATTTAGATTTATAAGAGCGTGATGTTATTTTGTGGAGCTAAGCAATAAATCATTTCACAGATGTTTCTTTTTACTCACATGGAGTGGCATGTTTTCCTCCTCCTGTCCTCACAAGTGGCTTCATAATGGGACAAAAATACATGTAACACAACGTTCTCTGCTACAGTAGTTATTGCATTCAGCTATGGCAGATATACTTTTTCAAGCAAGGTATGGTTAATTTTCGTCTATGTCCTGTATCTAGAGTCTGCACAACAAAAAACAAGTGAATGTATAATACAGACATACTAAACAACCTCATGCACCAGAATCTGGTGGATGTTAATTATATACATGAAACAGTTAAGTCTTTCATGCACAGTAAAGTTTCTACAACTAAGCGCTAATGTTTTACACATAATGACTACTGGAAACACTCACTCTCTCCCATACACTAATAAACACTTGGTGCACACACTTGCTCCCCTCCTACATGCTTGGAGGTAGTTTTCCTCTGCTGCACTGAGCTAATGAACCCAGCCAGCTCTTATCTGCTTATATGGATTTCCCAATCTGGTCCAGCAGTGCTGCAGCCAGACATGTGAGCCAACGCCTCGCCTCGTCTGTAATCTGTCATGTTGAAAAGAAGTCCAACTCGCTAGTGATTGGCCTAATGAGGGGGATCATTAACAGTTAAGGGCTGTATTAGGTTCCAGTTACCTCATGATACCCTTTTTCCTTCTCTTTACAGGCACTAAGGCCCAAAGTTGAAAGACAGAGTAGCGCTACATTGAAAGTTAAAGTGGACCTGTCATGCTTAGTTTTAGGTTCATACTTGTATTTTGGGTTTCTACTTGAACATGTTTACAGGCTTTAATGCTCAAAAAACACTCTGTTTTCTTCATACTGTCAGTGCTGGAACATCTGTTTTCACCCTCGGTCTAAAACGCTCCGTTTTTGCTCCTGTCTTTTTAAGCACTGTGCTGCTTTGCTAGCGTCTTTGATAACCTTAATCTATCGACACAGAAGCTAAGCAATGTACTGTTGTGGACAGGGCCACTGCAAAATGTATTTTAGTCTCCTAAAAAATCAATATCAGTGTAAGTGTATGTTATATTCGAATATTTGCTCTACTTTACCTTACTGATACTAATAAGGCTTTTATTTATAGGCTGCGATAGATCAGCAACTCCAGTGTTCTGCAAAGTAAAATTACTGTTTTTTCGTCAAGTGGCTTTGATATAAGACTTTAATTTCCTGTTGAAGAAGGCTGTCTGATGGCAAGGTAACACAGCGAGAATATAGTGTATACTTAAACTAATGTTGATTAATCAATTTAGGCAGAGTTTGCTCAGTGTCCTTTGTTTTTATATATATGGTGTAAGGTTTTCTACCTCGAGGTTAGTTAATAAATATTGTGATTTTGTCTGTTGTAGTGTTCTTTGTTCTGACACAGAAAATGTTTCGGTATACTCAGAACATTCTCCAGTGTCAACTGTAATATCTTTACCAATTCACTGTCTATGAAAAACTTCCAGACTGTACACTTGGTGATGTCACAAATTTGAGATTCGATTTAGTTCTGCGATATGTGAGTTGAGGTGTTAATGTTTGCTAATATTTTTGGACTGTCTCAGATCATAAGAATAACATGTATGAATTTTTTGAAGATGGGTGTAATTCCCCTTCAGTAACAACTAATTGCTAAGTCGACTTTACAGTAAATCATCAAGCTAATACACTAATTTTCATACAAGTCTAGAAGCTGCACTTCAAGATGTGTCTTTATGCCTTGATGCCGGTGTTTTTAGGTTGTCCGTCTGTCCATAGGTATGTACATACATATAAATGTACATCCCATTCTCGTGACAGCAATATCTCAAGAACACCTTAATTTCTTCAAATTTCTTCAAATTTGGCACTTGGACT